ATTGGAATAAGCTGCTCTAAGCGTTGCCTAAAAGAGAAGACGGTGTTGGCAGGTTTCCTACCAAGTGCCAAACGAGTTCTGTATCTCTTTCAGAGCGACCCAGAATTTGTTCAGTGGAAGAAAGAGCTGACAGAAGCTTTCACTGAGGCTCAGAGGTTGCTGCGCCGGGCGCCCAAGTTCCTCAATAAATCTCGCTCCACAGTCGTAGAGCTCTCCAAGCCGCCGCTCAGCCACAGGAATAGCAATGGTCTGTAGGAGGGGGAGAGAACAAATCTCGCGTAGGGAAAGCGCTGCGTGAACATGTTGAGTTTCACAGAATCCTTATGAATTACTTTGTGCAGCCCTGGAAGTGGGATGTGCTCAGAAGAGGAAGAATTAGATGTTTACAGCATGGGGTAATGTCAGAACTCTGACTCTGGAGGTGGTGAAGTCTGGAACAACGGCAAGTGAATTCATGCTCCTAGCAGAGGTGGAAACCCTCAAACGTAGAGGCTGCATTTTGCTCCCATGCATTCCTGCGCCCTGGCGGTGCCCGGAATGGTCCGTTACGCTGGAACTACTGATGGAAGGAAGCTGTTGTCCCTGCAATACCCTTGTTTGGTGCATACCAAGCCTGGAAACTGCAATGGTTACTGCTAGCTAGGGTTACACGTGTTTGTAACACCGAAGAACCCCTCAACTTTGGAAGGAGCTGCAGACTTGCCCTGTTGGATCACCTTTAATCTGTCGTGTTGCCATGTCCTTCCCAGCCGTTACTGCTGACTCTATAATAACCTTTCTCCATACTGCTGATGATCAACAGTGTGACTCTTATGCACTTCAGAGTACTGAATTCTAACTGTCCTGTGGTTTAAATGTTATTGCTACTTCATGGAAACGTTGAACTCAGATTATTCACTTGGTTTGTTGTACTCACTAAATAGTAGCTACCACCATTTTGCTTCTTCTACGTATATGCAGTACTATAACTGACACAATAGAGTAATAATTGGTGAAGAGGAATTTATGGTAGCTTCATCTAGTGCTCTGTTGTATAAACTGACTGTTTTAGCACAGTTTTTAAAGAGCAGATTCCTTTTGACAAGTTTACAGCGAACATAAAGACAGTTCTTTTCCATTTCAGGTCAACTGCACTTTTTAAAAATTAAAAAAAAAAAAAAAAAAAAAAAAAAAAAGAAAGAAATTATTCAAATCCAATGCATTCTAGTGCATGTACTGGGTGAAAAGGCCTGGGGACCTCGGTACGTATTCCGGATGGCTCTTCACTTGTGGGACATGTGGATCTTCTCTGTTGTGCACCACACATGGCAGGTGTGTGCTTGTAGCATAGCTAGCCCAGGTGCTCCCTGCAGCCGAGCTCAGGAGGTCCGTGTGTGCAGCACACGGCTCGGATGGCAACTGGATTTTTACTTTTCTTTCCTAGAGAAATCAAAACGTCCACGTTGAAAACAGTCTGGGAAAGCTGAGGATGGAACGTAGCAAATGAGCTGATCAAATGGCAGATCCGCCCGAACGCTGCTCGAGACATCGGTCGTGTCATGTGGAAACTCTTAACTTGACAAAATGAAGATATAATCTCTAATTGTTAGGCAACTCGAAGCGTGTGGTGGCTGCCTCTCCCTGGTCGCTGTGCTGTCGGGGCTGAGTTTGAGCTTTTTTTCCTCTTTTCTTGCCATAGAAATCACTTTCTGCCCTGTCACGGAGGCACAGCTCTCACAGTACCTGCAGGTGGTGGGAAATGCCTCTGTAAGGGAGGCTTCTGTGCCCTTGCATGAGAGGGAGCCCCTCACTGCTGCCATGTTCCCATGGAAGGAGTGGTGCCCTTGGGAAGGGATCCCTGAGAGCCAGGCGGTCTCTTGGTGCGTGTTTTTTCCCATTTATTTTTTGGTTACCCTGTGAAAGGAGTACAGAATTCACCAAGCTTGCTGGTAAGAGATGCTTAACATCTCGGCATCCTCAGGAAGGAGCAATGCTGGTATTTACCAGTGGTTGGGATGGAGAATTCCCATCATGCTGGCACTAACTGCACACTGGGCATCATGACGTTCTTCCCCCAGTGCCATGCATGTTTCTTATTGGGTTGGAAAGAAAACTCCAAACAAGATCAACTCTACTCTCAGCTTTCCCATAGCTCATTCGTATTGCCTCAGTTCATCACGGGTCCCATTCAGCTCCTCTGGGCACTTCCCAGACGCAGTGCAGCAGAGCTGTGCCAGCAGGGGAGCGCTGCCCCAGCACCACTTTGGCACCCACTGACACCACAGCTGTCAGCAGGAGTGCTTGGCATTGATGTCTGTGGGTGTTTGCACAGAGCATGGCGTTGGTCACTGGGGACGTGAGGAGCAGTGCTGCTTTGTACGCATGGTGACCACGGTATGGCTCGTTTCGTTTTGTTTTGTTTTCAAGTTCAGGGAAGTAAAGATAAAAGAAACCAGAGCTTTGGGCATCAGCAGAGCGAGGCGAATGATTAAGCACAGGTTTTTTTAACAATTAGTCTGACAGTCCCTTTAAAAAATGATCCAGACTTAGGAGGACTTAGGCACGCAGGGAATAGCTGCTTACATTGCAGCACTGAGAGATGCTAGATAAACCACGGCGGGCGCTCGCTGACGTACCCACATGCCTCCAGCACCGCAGGGGTCGTCTGCTGTTCTCTGGGTCTGATTGTGTGAGCTGATAGCATGGAGGCATTGGGCTGTGAGGTGGCTGCAGGGTTTGGATGTGTGCTTGCTGCAGGTTTGGACTCAGGGGCTTTGATGGCAGACTGTCGGTGTGTCCCAGTGCTGCTGGCATAAGCTGGGCAGTTCTCTCCAAACGGAGTGGGTATTTTGTGCATGCGTGGGACTGCTGAAGGGACTGCCCCACATCACCAAGTGTGGGTGCAGGAGGGGCTGTTGTGCAGTGTACAGTGGGAAGTAAATAGTTGTCGCCGTGTCTATTGATGTAAGGAAGGAGATTCCTGTTCTGCAAAATGGGAAACCTGAAAAACGTATTTTGAAAAAGCATAGTATTAATTTTAATATTGTAAAAAAAAAAGAAAAAAAAAGAAAAAAAAAAGAAAAGAAATAAATAAGGAAAATATCTAAAATATATGGAGAACATATGTATATCCAAACATCTGAGGAATTCCGAGATGATCTACTTTTGTTTCCTGTTGATTTCTATCCGTGGTGTACATATCGTGTGGATCGAATACTGTTGTTAAATTGTATTTTTATTTTGTGTTAAACGAATCACCACAGACTCAGCTTTATTTTGTTTATGTAAAGGTCGCTCTGCTCTGTCGGTATAAAACCAAGAAGTCTATTTTAACAAAAAAAAAAAAAAAAAGAAAGAAAGAAAGAAAGCATTTTATATTATTTATTAAATACGCGTTCCTCCAACTTCTGACATTCCACAGCACTGCTCCGTGTGCACGGCTGGCTGCAGAGCAGCAGGGCCCTTTAGGCAGGAGCTGTCAGCTTTATTCTGTTTTTCACATCCAAGTCCGGCTGCTTTCAGTGCCACCACCCTGCGTGGCGTTGTCACTGAGCGCCACGACTGCAGAGCATCTCAGATATCCTTTCCAACCACACTGGTAGCTGTAATTCCCCCTTTATCTCTCTGTTAATCTCTGCTGGGTTGAACCAGAACTGATGGCCTGAGAAGAGGCTGTTCGGATGGTGAAAAGGCTTATTAATTGCAAGGTTTAATGAGGGAGCCCGGAGAGACTGTAGGGCACTGGGGAAGGGGAGGTGAGCATCAGCTCAGAGCTGTTTGTGCTGTGCTGGGTCGGTGTTGGCGCAGAGCAGCGGAGCAGATCCTCAGTGCTGTTGGTGGCTGGGATGGGCAGCGGGCCGTGTGCTGGGAGCAGTGCTTTGGGACGGGGCTGAGAGCTGCATTTCTGTCTGTAGCAGAGCCGTCCTGCCCTGGCGAGGTACAGAAATAGCATCAGATAGCTCACCAACCAAAAATAAGCCCGGTTCCCATCGTGGGCTCCGCAGTTGGAGGAAGACGTTGAGGTGTTACAGTACGCGCTTTAGATTTCCACCCCGTGGTCATGCAGCTGTTTGGGGTTAAAAATGCCATCCTGGGGGTGATGTGTCGTTTTGGTGGGCAGCGTCGGGCCCCTGGACCCATTGCCTGCCGCGGCACGGAGCCAGGAGCTGTGCTGGGGCATCAGAGCCTGGCGTGGGGAGCTGGGCACGTGCTGGAGCCGGGTGCTGTGGGGCTGCAGCTGTCAGCTCCGGGCTGCAAGGGGCGGCTGTTGGAAGGGGAGGGAGCTGGGAGCACAAGTGAGAGGGCAGCGAGTCTGAAAAACAGAATAAAGTGAGAGCGTCCTCCGAGAGGCGTTTCCATCAGCACTGTTCCAGTGCCTAAATTCAGTCCTTCCAACAAAGGAGCAGATGCACAGCGATAGCTACTAAAGAAATCCATTGAAGAGAACCCGTTTTCAATGTGTAATTTAATGGTGGGAAAAGCCAGTATCTGTAAATAACTTTAGATATTGTAACTATGAGGATCACGATTTGTTTTATGTACTTGGCTCTTTCATATTTATTGTGCAGAGGAGGTTCCCCCCCCACCCCCCGGCCGTGTGCTCCGTGCCACGCCGCACTCGGTCCGTCCCGCCAGTATTTTTATTAAAGGATCATTTGGGGACAGCTAAGCTGCTTCTGTGTGTTGGTCAACTGCTCTCATACAACGAGAACCCCAATAAAAAACAAACGTCATTGGAGTGCGTGTGCCGCGTGGTCCTTTCCTGTCCCGCAGCTCGCTGCGCTTCTCCCCATCAAGCGGCGTTGGGAAACCAATGGGCTTTGGAAGCACCCCCAGCAGATGGGATGACGGGGTCAGTTTCAGCTCTTGTTGGGGCCGGGGCTCTCTGTGCCGCGGGGCACGGTGCTGGGCGCTGAGATGTGGGGATGCCTGGGGCACTGAGGTGGGTGGCGGGCTGTGGGGCTGCAGGCTGGGCAGCAGCAGGGCTCGGTGCAGCCCCGCAGGGTATTTTTAGCAGGGCCATGTGTCACCTCAGCTGCCACCGCAGTTGGGGGCGGAGGGGGAGGCGCAGGCAGTCCCACACCGCGCCGCCGCTGCCTCCTGCGCTCTCGGCTCGCTGGGGTCCCGGCGTGGGCCCGCTGCCCCCCGGCACCGAACGCAGGTACGGGTGATCCGTGGGGGTCTTTGGGGCGTGGGGTTGGGCCGGGGGTCCATTGGAACCTTTGGGCTGTGCTGCAGCCCAGGCTGGGCCCCTCGGCTATTTTTAGGTGGGAATGAAGAGCGATAGCGGCAGCACCGCTCCAGGGGTGGCTTCCAGCAGCGCTCCGGGCTGGAGGCTGTTGGGAAATGGGGAAGGGGCTCCTGCCAGGCCCTCCGAGGAGGCAGTGGGACAGGACCCCCCCCCTTGGCAGCCCCAGTGTGGGGAACGGAGCCACACGGCTGTGGCCCAAGTGGGGCTCTGTCCTGCTCCCATCTTGGATGGCTGAGGTGCTGAGGCTGATCCCGAGCCTTCTTTGTGCTCTGCTCTGTGCCGTGGATTCCCCACGGGTCCACCTTGGCTGTGGGCGTGGGGTGGGCTGGGGGCTCTCTGTCTGTGGGGCCGCACTGTAGGGCCACTCTCCAGGCTGGTGTGGGGTCAGTTCTGGTTCCCCATGGTCTCTGGGGCAGGCGGCAGACAGGGCACGTGGCGCCCGGGGCCATCGCCCAAGAAGGCAAGTGGCATTCCTCCACCGGGCTCCCGCACTCCTGCCCTTTACTGTACAAGGCGATAGGGCCCCAGGGCTGCGGTCTGCACGGTGCGTGAATGATCCCAACAGGTGAGGCTGGGTTCAGCCCCAAGCGGGGCCAGGCACGGTTGCGCCCGGTGCCGCCGACGCCGCTGTGACGCTGCCACCGGGGCTGCACGTGGCCGTGCCCTCCGATGCTGTAAAACGACACGGCCCCTCCGTGGCCGCTCCTGCCCCGGTGCCAGCTGGGCTATGGGGTTCCTATAGGGTTCCTGTAGGGCCCCCGGTGGCGGCTGCTCCTCACTAACTCTCTCCTCTCTCTCCCCCTCACCCTCCGCTCTCAGTAAAGCTCCATCCCGGTTCCATCATGGCCATCTCCTCGCGCCTCGCGCTCTGGGAGCAGAAGGGAAGTGTTGGTCCTTGTGTCCCCATGTCCCCGTGCTGCACGTCCCCGCGCTCGCCTTGTCCCCAGGCCTTCCGAATGGGCATCACTGCTCAGCCTGAATTTACTGGTTTGAGCAATGTCTGTTGTTCGGGTCTCCCTGCAGGGTTGCTGCACAGGGCTGGGGCAGCACAGGGCTCTGCACGCTGCAAACAGCTCCATGCCCCGCAGTGCTGGAGCTGCCATGCCCTCCGCAGCACATGGGGCTGTTCTTGCCGCTTGTCCTGCTGCTCTGCGCAGCCCCTCACCTGGTGCCAACCTGTTGCCCATGGCCTCGCTGCACGCTAAGTGATGCCCAAAAAACAAAGCTTGGCTCAGCTGTTGCACACAGCCGTGCTGCCAACATCCCTGCAGTGCTGCTGCGCTGCGCTGGGCTGTGCATTCCTATAATCCAACTTCTGCTTCTAACAGATCCGGGAGGAGGACCGGGGCCCGCCGCCATCCGCGCCCCCTCTACTCCTCTCTGTCATTCCTGGTGGGTTCATCAAGCAGCTCGTCCGTGAGACTGAGAAGGAGTCCAAGGAGGCGAGGCTGAAGAAGGCAGCCAAGGCCAGTGGGAAGGAGGAGGTGAGCAGCCATTGCACTGCACTGCAGGCGGCCAGGGCTGGCTGGGGCACTGCGTGTCCCACCTTGGCCTCGGGTCAGAGCATTCTCCTTCTCTTGGCAGCCTGTGGTGGAGGACAGTCCAGCCCAGAGCAGGGATTCCCCAGCTGCCAAAGGAACCGTGGTCAGTGTGGGGAAGTCCTTGCAGAACGGGCTGCAGGCAGGTGGGCAGGGGGGCAAGGGGACACCAACACACACAGCACTGCCCCCCGGGACGGCTGCGCCTAGCTCCGATCCCAGCAAAGCTCCCACGGTGGCACAGAGCCCTCGGTCAGAGGGTCCTCAGGCAGTAAAGCCACAGAGCCCTGAGAAGAAAAAAGGAGGAGAGGACAAGAGCCCCAAGGCTGCATGCCCTGGGGGGAGCCCCCCATCTACAGCCCCAGCGATCAGCAAGGGCCCCCAGCACTGTGGCAAAGTGAAGGAGGGGGACTTGCCCAAGGGGAAGGGTCCAGAGGGCACCAAGAAGGAGAAGGGAGCAGCCCTGAGTGGCCAACAGTTCTCCAGCACAGCAAGCACCAAGAGGGAGCTGGGGCTGGGCAAGAAGGAGCTGGAGAAGATGAAGAAAGATGTTGGAGGTGGGAAGAAGGAGCCGAAGGAAATGAAAGAGCCTGCAAAAAGCACAAACAAGTCAGAGGGGGCCAAGAGGGAAGCAGGAGGCACTCGAGAAAAGCCTGAAGGTGTGGCAAAAGGAGTCGGAAAGGCAAAGGGAGAGCCTCGAGAAGGAAAAGAGGCACCGCAAGGAGGTGAAGAGGCACTGGCAGAGAGCAAAGCAGCACCTGTGGAGAGTAAAGAGGAGACAGGAGAGAGCGCAGACCAGGAGCAGGTAATGCCTGCAGCTGTCGCCCTGTGCACAGTGCTGTCCTGGTGTCATGCAGCTCTCCTGCCCTTGTGGCTGTGGCTGCAGGCAGTCCTTGTGGCTGTGGTGCTCCAATCCAGCTCCCTGCAGTGCTGCTCTCTCCTCCTGCAGGCTCCCAAGGATGTGTGGTACGAAGCGGATAAAGTGTGGCTCGTGCAGCAGGATGGCTTCGTGCTTGGTAAGCCCTCAACTCACCACACTGAGGGCCGGAGGGGCCTTTGGTGTGCCATGGCACGGCACTGTGTCAGTGGCTTATGGTTGCCATGTTGCAGCCACACAGCTGAAACCTGATGTGGGGACACCAGAGCTGCCAGCGGGCAGAGTGCGGGTGCGCCGGGATGCAGATGGCAGCATCACTGAGGTGGATGAGGACAGCGTGCAGCGGGTGAGCCCACCTGGGGCTGGCTCTGGGTTACGGGGTGTACTTGGTGGGACGCTGCCCAGGGTGGCTGTGGACGTGGTGCTGGCAAAGAGAGGGTGATGGCACTGTGCTCTGCCCCACGGCTGCTCCCTGACAGCACCCATTGCCTCCTACAGACCAACCCTCCCCACCTGGACCTGGCTGAGGACCTGGCCACGCTCCTCAACCTCAATGAGTGCAGCGCCCTGAACACACTGCAGCATCGCTACCGCTCCCATCTCCCCTGGACCTACGCCGGGCCCAGCCTGGTGGCCATCAGGCCCGGCCCCGATGCCGGCACCCATGCGGGGAAGGTAAGGGGTTGGGCGTGGGACCCTTTGTGGTACCCTCGGGTGAGCGGTTCTATGCTGGGAGGCGGACACCGCACCACAGAACCCACAGCGGGACATTGCGCAGGAGCTGGGAACTGCAGGCCGGCAGGTGGCACCGTGGGACCGCCGCAGTGGTCTGCGTGATGCTCGGGGCTGGGGATGCTCTGCGTAATGCTCGGGGCTGGCGGTGCTGTTGGTTGATGCTTGGGATCAGGGATGCAGGAGGATGCTCGGGGCTGGGCGTGCTGCTGGGTGATGCTCAGGAATGGCGATGCTCGCAGATGGGCGCTGCTCCCAGCCAAGTAGTTTTCCCGATTTCTGGGAGAAAATCACTGTATTGCTGTACCTGCCATGGGGGTGTTGGTGCTGGGGCAGGAGTGGGCTGGGGAACAGTGCCTGAGGTGCACTAGCATTCTCAGAGGTTTTCTGCAGCATTCCCACACTGTGAAACATCTCCAGTCTCTTTCCACGAGAACCCCTCTGATCACTCTTTGGGACTCCCCCCCGGCCCACAGGTGTCCAAGGGGAGGCGGGACAGCACAGCACCACACATCTGCTCGGTGGCACAGAGAGCCTACAGGACCCTGCTGGCCCAGAGGCGGGACCAGGCCATCGTGCCCATGGGGCGCAGCGGTGCAGGGAAGACCACGAGCTGCCAGTTGGCCCTGGAGCACCTGGTGGGCATGGCAGGCAGCGTGGACGGCCGAGTCTCAGGTATGGGTTGGGTCTCAGGTAACAGTTGGGGCTCAGGTAGGCTGTTGAGCAATCAGCGGGTCTGGGTTTGGAGCTGTTGCATGGAGAGCGGAGGTGAGGGCAGGAGTGAGGCTTCCCAATGTACTGCTCAGGGGTTGCCCATGTTGGTTTTGCAGTGGAGAAGATCCAGGCAATGTTCACGGTGCTGGGAGCCTTTGGGGCAGTGAGCACTGAGCAGAACAGCAGCTCCACACGCTTCTCCATGATCCTCTCTCTGGATTTCAGTGCCGCTGGGCGCATCACCGCCGCTCACCTCCAGGTACCCCAAGGGCACTGCTACCTACTGAGCTCAGGGTCCCTGGGACCAACGCCATCCAAGTCCCTGCAGGGAGATCCCAGTCCCTCCCCAGCTCCTGGTGGTATCTCCCCATCTGTGGGTGCTGCTGTCTACTCCCCGTGTGCCCACACCATGCCCTGTGTGCAGGGGAATGGGGGCTGCCACTGATGCCCATCTCTGCTCTCTGCAGACCATGCTGCTGGAGAGGGGCCGTGTCGCCCAGCAGCCCCCTGGGGAGAGCAACTTTAATGTCTTTCCTATGATGCTGGCGGGCCTGGATGTGGCACAGAGGTGAGCAGCGTGCTCTGCATGGGGAAGTTGGGAAGTGGCGTGGTCTGCATGGCACAGAGCAGGGCTCAGATCTTGCCTTCCCAAACTCCTTGTAGGACCACGTTGCACTTGCACCAGGTGGCTGAGAGCAACGCCTTTGGATTCAAGCCCTTCTCAAAGGTAAGGAGCACTGATGGAGCCCTGTGCCTCTCCAACCTGTGGCTGAGCCCTCATATTGCACCATGGCAGTGGCTCTGGGGCTGAGTGTTTCCTTTGGAGAGTGCAGAATGCAATTTTAGAGGCTAAAAGCACCGCATTTGATATCCAGCAGCAGCTCCCTATTAGTCTGAGCCCTTCACAAAGGTTAGGCAGATCGCCAATGAGCCCAAGTGCTGGGATGAATCGCAGCAATTTGCAGTTACATCACCAGTGAGTGAATTCAGTATTCAATCTTCATTAAGGAGCTCCAGTGCCAGTCTGGAGCCTCACAAGTCGGCTGATGCAGCGCTGAGGGCACGGCGAGGCCTCGAGCTCCACTGGTGCCACAGATTTGAGCTGAGGGAATAGTTGTGATATTCTGTGTCAGAAGCACCAGGCTCTCCATGCAGAGATGCTCCCGTTGTTCCATGTCTCTTTCTGTGTCCCCTCATCGTCCCCCTCCTGCCTGCCCAGCTGCACGTCCCCATCCTTTTGGGTGCCCCATATATCCCCCCTCTCTCCCTGCAGCCCGAGGAGAAGCAAAAGGCGAGCGCAGCGTTTGCAAAGCTGCAAGCAGCCATGGGTGTGCTGGGCATCACGGCAGAGGAGCAGGTGGCCGTGTGGAGAGTGCTGGCTGGCATCCACCACCTGGGAGCTGCGGGGGCCTGCCGAGGTAAGGGCTGTTCCCTCCTTCCTCCACAGCCACTGGCAGTGCAGTGGGCAGGGCTGGGTGCTGCTTTCTGGAGGTGAGCTGCCATGGGACCTCGTGGCACCAGTCGTGGTGTCATCACTTGAGTGCCTCATACAGTGCCTGAGCTACATGAGAACGGTTCCAGATGAGAACTGTAGTTATGAAGGCTTTGTTAATACAAGTGTACAGAGATTGCCATATCCCTTGTGAATTATGTTAAGCGGTGTGCTAACCCGTCTGGGAGAGAGCCCCGTTGATTTACACCCTTCAATTTATGAGGGCTGCGTAAAGGCTGCTATAAACTCAGCACAGACATCCATAAACGTCTCCGCAACGTGTCATAACACATCTCGTGGTAATTTAAGCCATTAATCATCTATTAATTATTTTTAAAGGATAAATGCTGTCGTCACTTAGCATTCTCCTTCCCCTTCCCTCTGGCGCTCCGTCTCCCCATTTCCCTTCTCCCCTTTTTTATGGTAGAGTGTCACAAAGAAGCTTTGGGTAAAACCAAAGCCCTTCTGCCTTAAGAGCTTCCAGGACAGCAGAATTTGGAGATGTGTTTCCTTCTTGGTGCCTGCCATCAGCTGGGCCTGAATGCTTTGTTAGCATTTTCAATCCATTCTTGTAATTACCTGAGCCGATTTGCTCTGACTTACATTGGGACTGCCTGCATGTCACTCGGGAGTCAGGCGAGGGCTGCATTCACAAAGCCTTGGAGCACTTCTCGTGGTGTGAAGAGCAATGTGAAGTGTTGTGCTGGGGCTCCGGAGCTGCGTATGGGATTAGCAATCAGAGCATGTCTCAGCAGCACTCGCTCTGCTATCGATTCCCCCATCGTGTGTCAACCAAAGGGGAGAAATGAAAGGAAATACGGATAAAAAATGGATCAAAGCCGGATGGAGCAAAAGTCTCGGCGGGGGCGATGACTCTTTTAATGTGGTTAAACCTGTCTCCTGATCGCCATCTCTTCCCTTCCCTCTCATGCCCTTTGAAGATCTGAGCTCAGCATCCTCTCACCGAGGGCAGCCCCTCCTCCGCACGGTGCGTTCCGAGTCCCTTCCCTGCGCTTTGCTCCCTCTGCTGATTGCCGTCGTCTCGTCACAAAGCTTCTTGCCCAGGAATGAAGCAGGAGGGAACAGCACCATCTCCCTCTGGCTGGGAGCGGAAAATGCATTTGTGGCGAGAAAAACACCGAGAAGAAAAGGCTGAATTTCAAAGCCAAGGTGTCAGCAATTCCCCTTTGCTTTTGAAATGCGTCGAAGCGGCTCTTTTTATGAGAAACAAGCCGACATCCAGAGGCCGGCAGGGCACCTTAGGTACCCATTCACCTAAAAGAGCTTTCGGTCCCCTTTGTGCGCCGCGGACCGCGGTGTATTTTCATTTCTTCATTAGCTCTCTAACCGGGAAGGAGGGCTCGGGCACAGCCGGGGTCGGCACTCAGCTCCCTCTCCAGTGCTGCTTTGGATGGAGGGGGAGGGTGGCATTGCCAGGGTTCTGCTCTTCCTTGTGGTTTTGGTTTCCTTCAGGATGCATATAGGCGTTGCATTAGAAACACGGGTGCAGGGTATCTGTGCAATGTGGGGTCTGCCTTGTGCAGCAGGACCCAGGGCTCTGCACAGTGCTCTGGATCCCCTGTCCTGGTGGCTGAGAGCAGAGCAGGGACGTCTGGTTTTGTTACACCAGCTCTGCTGCTTTGCCCTGCTGGGAAGGGAAGAGCTGCTCTGCTGCCTGGTGTCGTTCATCACAATGATTCCTGGAAAAGATTGCATTAGGGCTGGCCTCTGCATCCTGCCCATTTTTCTCTCTGTTAAAGCCTTCTGCTCTTCAGCACTCGGGTTTCCTGCTGCAGGGAGAAGCACCTGGGGAATGTTTTTAGGATTTTATCCTTTTTTTTCTTCTCTTTCCTGCTCCAAGCAGGCTGTCTCTGTGCCCCCCGAGTTATGGCACTATCTGTTCAGTGCTCTGACATCTTTATTACAAACAGCTGGGGAAACGCAGCCAGAGTGGCAGATTTCTTTAATCATGCTATTACACAGCTCTCCCCTTTGTTATATATAGGCTTCAACATGTCATACATCAGCCAGCCGGTCAGCAGAGAATAGACCGGAGGATTTAGAGCAGGACAAAACCCCATCCAGCCGGGAGGATCCTCCTCTCCCTCTCAGGTGGTAATCCCATCAGCCCCCCACTGGGCTGCTTGCTGCCGTGTTTGCTCGTTGCAAGGCATTCAGCCCAGCTGCAATCTGCCCTAAGCTGCCCAGCCCTCTGTGGTCAGAGCAGTGGGGAACACACTGTGATGTGTTGGTCTGAGATGTTTCATTCCCAACCAAAAATTATGCCAAGTGATGACCCAAATGGGTCAAATCGATCCAGGGAAGGGAGGAAAAGCTTTTCAGATTTGTTGGAGATGTTACAGAGGCAGGCAGCGAGGGAAGCGCCCGGCCACGTCCACCGTAATTGAAAATTAAAGCAGCAGCCTATAGAGAAGGGCATAAAGCTGAGCACCATGGCAATGAAAGGAATTGGAAAGCAGCTCTCTGCTGGCTTGCAGAGCACGTGGGGCTGCAACACCGGAGAGCATCGGCTGCAAAACCCCTCCAAGCTCAGTAGTGCTCTTCAAGCTCCTAATGCAGAGCAGGTGCTGGGGGCTGCGGTGCTGTGCAGGACGCCCTTGATGGAATCCCTGCTGCCACCCGCCTCCATCCCATGTGCTGTCTCTCTGTGTGTGTTTGATGCCCTGCCTCCCTTCGCAGTGGGCCGCAAGCAGTTCATGCGCTTTGAGTGGGCAACGCACGCTGCTGAGGTGCTGGGCTGTGAGCTGGAGGAGCTCAGCACCGCCGTCTTCAAGCACCACCTGAAGCAGATCCTGGCACAGGCGGCTGCACGGAGCGGCGGGAGGCCCTCTGAAGAGGAGGGACCCTCAGGTACCCAGCACTCCCTTCTCCCTTTCCTCATGGAGTTCCTATTTCCACATGGGATATTTCTATTTCCATGTGGGAATGCGATAGAGCCCTGATTACCACCTGGAAAAGAGACCTGGGCATGAAGGAGTGCAGGTGATGCCTCTGGAAGATCAGCGATGGGGCCCTCCCTAGAAATGGGGAGGGAAAGAAGAAAGAAATGCCATGGGGGCAGCAGGGTGGGCTTCTGCTGTGCCCCATAACCTAACCTGGGGCACGTGCACAAAGCATGGGGCACTGGAGGGGCTGTGAGCACACAGGTAGCTGTGCACAGGCAGGGAGCATTACTTTGCTCCTCTCTCTGCAGGGCAGAAGATGACGGGTGTGGAGTGTGTGGAGGGAATGGCTTCAGGTCTCTACGAAGAGCTTTTTGCTGCACTCGTCTCCATGATCAACAGGTATGGGGCCAGCACTGCGTCCTGCAGAGCTCGGTGATGGGTGAGATATCACAGGCTGGAGCTGGGGTTAGTGGTGTGCAGGGAGCCCACAGGGAGCCATGCAGCTGCTGTGTGGTCACAAGTGGGGATCAAAATGTTGCGAAGCATCCCTCCTGTGCTCACCTCCGCCTGGAAAGCTGGGAGGGAGGGGCACCTCTTGTACTGAAATGACCCACTCAGTTAAATGGAATGCTTGACACGGGAGTGAGGATCAGACCCCAAACAATTCACTTTTCTCAATTCAGATGTGCAGCCCAATGCGTACAAGTCAGCATCCACATGAAACCCAGTGCTCAGAAACACTCTGTGTTGTTCCAGCGGGTCTATTTTTACCTGCGGCTGAATATTTTCATTTTAATTCCTAGCAACCGCATTCCAAAGTGAAATCGGTGATGGTACTCTAAGACCTTGCAGAAGATTCTCTTGAATAGCAGCACTAAATCATGCTGTACCCTACTCCCTTTAAAGCTAGCGTTGCTTTGCTTGACTTTATTCCCCACACCGACCCATCACCACCTATCAAAGCTTTGCAGTGGTGGCTGGAGAGAAATGCCGTGCTGCTGTGCAGTCCATGTGCCGGTAGCGATGGCAATGGCTCTAAACACCCAGGGTGCCAGGAAGGGACGCAGGCAGGGGGAGGCTGGGAGCTAGCAGAGGGTCGGTGTCACCCCACGCTGTGTGCCCATCCCCAGGTCCTTCTCATCCCAGCACCTCTCCATCGCCTCCATTGCGGTGGTGGACACCCCTGGCTTCCACAACCCGCGGCACCAGGGTGGGCAGCGGGCAGCCACGTTTGAGGAGCTGTGCCACAACTACGTGCATGAGCGGCTGCAGGGGCTCTTCTACGAGAGAACCTTTGTCTCGGAGATGGAGAGGTACAAAGAGGTGAGCGTGGGCGCGGGGGGCTGCCTGGGGCACATGCAGTGCCTGTGAGCTGCTGCGATGAAAGGGACGGCGCTTCGGGGCTGTGATGGAGGAGTGCTGCAGGAACACAGGGTCTGCAGGCCCTTCCTCCTTCTGCCCCCAGCAGTGTCCTCGTGGGCATTTGTGAGGCCACGGGGTGACCGTTGGGTAACAGTCGTGGGAACATGGAGGGATATTTGAATGACCATGGAGAGGTTGTGGGGAGGAGATGGTGTGGCCATGGAGCGCTCATGTCTTGACCTTGAGAAGATCACAGAGGGGAAATGGGTTGACTGTAAGGCGACCATAAGGGGATCACAGGGTGGAACATTCAGAAACCACGAGGTAACCGTGAAGGGACCAAAGTGAGAACATTGAATGACCATAAAAGGATCATGGTCATGGTGTGACCATGAGGTGATTGTGGAGATACCACAGGATAAAATGAGGGGATGCAGGGAGTAATAGGCATCGAAGAAGTGAGTATGGGGCAGCCATTCTAGGGCCATGTGCTGACCACCTGATGAATGTGGGAAAACCGTGTTGTGACCATTGGGTGGCTATGAAGGAACCACGGTGTGAACAAGGAATCACACGTGAAGGGATCACGGGGTGGACAACTGACTGGCAGTGAAGTCAGTATGAAGGGATTATTGGGTAACCACGAATGGCCCACAGTGAGAACGTGAGGGGACCAAAGGCTGAACACGGCATAACCATGAAGGGGCCATAGAGTAACCATGTGAGAACGTGGGTGACCACGACGTTGAGGATACTTGGCAATAAAGTCAGAGCCTTCAGCAGTTAATTAAAAATCTTCAGCAAGCAGACATTCTGATTAGGGAAGGCTGTTTCTCCTAGTTGAACAGGACATCCGGTGCCCAAAAGCAGGCTCTCAGCATTCCTTTGGGGAGGTACCATGTACCCTGCTATGGTTGATAATAGTCACCACAAAAATTAAAAATTCCTGGTTCTAATTCCTAATCAAAAACTTAATCAACAGCCATGTTTTCTGTAAATAAGTTCTTAACCAAACATAGGGCCTGGCCTACTTAACATATGATATACTTCCAAAGCCACGGATAGGACCCTGGGAAGCCTGATGTGTTGGGGGGCAACCAACCCATGGCAGGGGGTTGGAACTGGGTGGGCTTTAAGATCCCCTCCAATGAAAGCCATTCTATGATTTGTGAGGCATCTCCTCCCAGCTGAGGTGCTCTGCACCCTTCTTGTGGTGCAGCTGGGCTTTTCCTAAATTAGCTCAGGTGTTGAATAATAGAGAACAGAAAGGAAAATGATAAATTATCGCAGAAATAAACTGCTGGAAAATCTACTGGCAAAAATGAACTTATTAAGCTTGCAGAAGTAACTTTAATACCTTCAGCTCTGGAAAAATGGTTGAATTCCCACGGCTTAATATTCACACAGCGCTTGTCTCCAGTAAGTATAGATGTGCCCTTCAGTAGTGATGAATATGCAGCTACCAGCCGAGCATGAAATGAAGGAGCTTGGTGGGATCACCATGCCTTGTGCCAGTGCTGTCCTGCCCCAAACACGGGGCTTTCTGCTGCCACCCCCTGAGCCCCAGAAACACCACAGGGTGCTGGAAACACGAGAACTGCTGGCCCCGCCAACCTGAAATAGAAAGGGAACATGAATGGTGGCTCTGCCCGCCAGCTGCACGTTAATAATTGATTGTTTCCTCGGTGCTCTCTTGTTCGGTCCTGTTATTATCATATCCATCATTTATGCAGCTTGTCTGACACTCACCGAGTGCTGTGGAGCCCTTGGAGCGTGCTGCTCTGCGCCCACAGAAGTGTCCCTGGTGGCAGCTCCGCTCCATCGCCCTCCCCGTGTGCACACACCTGCGGTCGGACTCCTGACTGAAGTGAGCTTTTAAATAATGTTTTCCAGGAAAATGTTGAGGTGTCTTTTGATCTTCCAGAGCGCTCTCCACTGGTCACGCTGTCCATCGTTGACCTGAACCCCTCGCAGGTAATCGGGTCTGGTGGCCACTGGGGGAATTGGTCGCCCTGCCTGGAGCATCTTTCCTCTACTCGGAGGGTTGCAGAGGCCGTGCTGCTTCGTTGTGTGCAGTGCATGTGGCATGAGTTACCAGGGGCACACAGCTGGGCAGAGGTTTCCTTTCTTCTCAGCTTAGAGCAAAGATGCTGGGAAGTGGGGCATGCTGGCTGCAGCTCCTGGCCACCCCCTGTCCCGTTCCTGGTGACCCAAGAGACACTTCCACTCTTTGACAGCCACAGGTGCTGCCCAGCAGCCTGGGGGCCGACCGCAGGGGGCTGCTGTGGATCCTGGATGAGGAGGTGCTGATCCCAAGCTCTGGAGATGGTGCTGCTTTTGACCGCCTCTGCTCTTACTTTGCCCCAAAAGGATCTGACCAGGATGGTGAGTTGGGCATCTCCCCACACTCCAGCTGCATTGCTTCTGGAATCACCATTTAGCTATGACAATTAAGGAAGCCCCCCAGAAAATTCACTATTTCACTTTCCTTCTTGGGCAATCCTCTTCTGCTAAGAAACGCAGAGCTGGGTTCTCTCCCGTCAGTGAAAACAGTGTGGGTTCCCTGTGCACCATCACTGTACTGTGCCTGGAGAGCATGGTCTGAAATGCTCTGCTAGGTGCATCCTGGCCCTGCTGGCAGTGGTAGCCCCATGGGAACCTGATGGTGACCCCCTTGGGGTGCAGTTGACCCCCTCATGGCACTGTTGCTGTTGCAGGGGCCGGCTGTGTGCGCAAGTGTGAGCAGGCACTGCACTTTGAGATCCCACACCAGCTAGGCACCGACCCCGTGCGCTATGACCTGGCAGGCTGGGTGAGCAAGGCCAAGCTCAACCTGTCTGCAGAGAACGCCAGTCAGCTGCTGCAGCAATCTCAGCTGTGAGTATGGGGCACGTGCTTGTGGCTGCTCCATGGGAGAGGGATGAGATGGGGAAGGAAGCAAGGAAAAAGCCAGGAAAAAAGCTGCTTTTGGTCCAGCTTTGTTGGAATATTTAGAATTTAGTAAGGTAGGGCAGCAAAGCCAAATGATTTGATGTATAGCCACCCAGCCCCAGCTGATGAGCAGCTAGATGTGCATGGTTTAATTATGGTGGATGCTCAACAGGGAGCTGGTGGATAATGCCATCCCATCCAAGCCATCCCATAATACTCCTCATCAAAATTACCTGAAGCAGTAGAGCTGTGTCTAACCCTAACCCTAACCCAATGCAAAGAAATTCAGTGGAATGCAACACAATAAAATGCAGTGGAATTCAATGCAATCCAGTGATGTGAAATGAAATCAAACGCAGTGCAACGTCATGTCATCCTAAGCCTAACTGTAACCCTGCTGCAGGGGAGGCAGCGTGGGGAGAATGCTGGGTGCTGCTGTCCCACAGCTGGAAGGGCCCCGCAATGTCCTTGGCTCTGCAGCATCGCAGTGCAGAGGCAGTGAGGCACCCATGTAGCAGCACTTCTCTTTCCCCTGCTGCATCCAGCAACCTTGTAAACTACTGGAGCTGAAACACAAACACGCTGGTACAGATGCCTCCGCACACGCCATGATTTTAACCTTCTGCTTAAGCCCTGCTGGCTCATTTTGTTCTGGGCTTTGGTTCAGGGAAATTCTAATAGCGACAAGCAGCGGGGTTCTCGATGCAGAGAGAAGCCAGGAGCTGTGGGGCAGCACAGCATGAGCACCAGTGCTGGATTTGGCACTGACCTTGGGCTGCAGGTTGCTGGCAGCAAAGCACCCCCGTGCTGCCCCCGCTGCGTACCCAGCACCTCACTCTTTTCTTGCCCACAGGAATGCACTGCAGGAGCTGGCAATGCTGCGCCGCGGGGTGCCGCGGGTCTGCCGTGCTGTGGCGGGGCTGGAAGGGTGCTCACAGGCGGCCCTGCAGCGCAATGCCTGCGTCAGAAAGGTCTTCGCCAGCAACTTGGCAGCAGTCAGGAGAAGATCGGTGTGCGCCCAGCTCAAGCTGCAGGCGGTGAGTGCAGAGGCAGGAGCAGGGCTGTGCGTGGCTCCTCTCGGCTGGAGATGCTGCGCTGGCTGCAGGTGGCCGCTGCAGCTCAGGGAGAGCATCGCAAGGAAAGAAGTCGCAAAGCAGATTACATGCACACCTTGCTGCGCTGATGGTTAATCCTCTTAAGCATGCTGGCCCTCCGTGCTGGTTGTGCGCCAGCCTCCTGTTGCTCACGCTGTAGTGGGGTGCTCGGGCTCCCAGCAGACCCAGCAGCCAGCTTCGTGCATGTTCTGGCTCCCCCAGCCCAGTGGAATCATGGAACCACAGAATTTTTTGAGATACAAGTGACCTTTAAAGGCCACCTGGCCCCTCTCCCCTACAAGAAACATCTACAACTCGACTAGGTGCTCAGAGCCCTGTTTCCAGAGACATGGCATTTGGGAACAGAAAACCTGGGGCTTTGGGAGAAAGTCTTACTTGGTTACCTCCAGTCCCGCTGACCTCTTCTTTCCCCTAGGATGCTCTCACCAGCCTCCTGCGGCGCTCCCAGCTGCATTTTGTGCACTCCCTGGTTCCTGGGACAGCGGTGGAGAAGGCAGACCCGCCGCTGCTGGATGTGCCGGCCCTGCGAGCCCAGCTGGGGGGCAGCCAGCTCCTGGATGCCCTGCGCCTGCACCGCATTGGTATGCACTGCCCCCTGCAGCCCCTGCTCAGCCCTCCACGCTTTGCTTATGTCCTGCCTGTCACTGGACCTGCTTCACCACACTGCCAGTGCCTTCGGGGATTTTTGAGAGGTCTCTTCACTGCTGGTGGCTCAGCTTGAGCACAATGAGTGCAGTGCCCCGTGCTCCCTATGCAGACCCGTGCATGACTTTGTTCCTGCACCCTGTGGGGTCACAAAAGGCCCGAGCAGGGGGCTGGGGACATTTCCTGCATTGCGCAGTGTGCCACCTTATCCAGCCGCCTCGAGCGCACCTTTCGTTCCCTTCCTGCTGCTTCTGTTTTGCCATCATTTTGCTCAGCTCCCCCAGCCCCCCCAACTGCATCCCACTTTGCTGCATGCCCCAGCAGCCCCTGCACTGCTCCCTCCCTCCCCAGCAATACAGACCTCACCGCCAGCTCATGCATCCTGCCCAGAGGTGTCTGTTGTCCCCAGGGTACTCGGACCACCTGCTCCTGACCCACTTCCGACGGCGCTTCCAGGTGCTGGCTCCAGCTGTCATGAAGAAGTGCACATCTGCCTACGAGGTGCCGGATGAGAGCAAGGTATGTCCTGACTGAGAGCACTATCTTGGGCTCTGCCCGTGCCCATACCCAGCACAGTCAGGGCTCTCTCTGCAATTAGGAGCTATTACCGGAGCTCTTCAAAGGAGCTCTTGGTCTTGTCCTGGGGCAGGGGGCAGCTCCTTCCGGGCTCAGCCATTCATTACATTCAGCGCTGTTATTGTCATGGCTGCCCCTGGGGCTGTGGGGTCAATGCCTAAAGCTCTGCTGAGCCTCTCCCGGCAGCAGTGGGTGATGTGCTCTGCTCTCAGCCCCGGAGTTTCTCCCCCTTAAGGCTGTGTTTTTGCAAAGGCTGTAATCACTCCTAGCGTGGGCTGCGTTTTCCAGGGTTATTGCACCATGGAGAGGACTTGGAGAAACCAGCCTGGAAATGAAGCCTATTACTGCTTCTTTTTAATACTTAAGAGCAAAGAGCTTTGGAAACCCTGCTAGGTTAGGGCTGGGGGTGTCCCAAAATATGTGAAGCTGAGGACAAAGCAGAATCACACCCCAGGGACCTAATGTAGGTCAAAGAGCATGAATTTCCCAGGGCTGGGCATCACCTGGGCTGGCACCAAAGGAACGAAGGCCAGGATCTCCCAGTTGAACAGGTTTTATAATAAATCAGTAGCAAGGCTGGGGAGAGTCACCCGCATGCCTGGAATGAAATGTGGGTAAGCCAGAGAGCTGAGGGGAGATCAATCAAAGACGGACATATGCTCTGTTGTGCAAACTGCCAGAGTGCATGCACGTTCAGTAAAGACCTCGGGATTTAATGAGACAAGTCTGACAGTCAGAAAAGGTCAACATTGTCATTAAAGAAGGCAGAGGGGACTCACAGCAGCACATAAGCTGGGAGCTGCAACGCATTCCCTCCCTGCAGGCAATCGAGGAGCTCTTCCACGCACTGGATCTGGAGAAGAAAAGTGTGGCCATAGGACGCAGCCAGGTACAAAGGCATCACCCTGGGTTATAGTGTGCCTCGTCCTGAAACCCAACCCAGCCACCTCCCACGTCCCATAGAAGCAATGGGGCTCAGGGAGCTTGGTCTCTTTGAGAAGAGGTGAAACCTGCCAGACCGGGCAGCAGTTGTCCCAGCAACAGAATATGAACTTAAAGTTGATAATCTCAAAGGAAAATTAATTTCATATGCATGCTTGCCTTCAGCTCTCAGAGTCTATAAAGAAAGAATTCATGAAATGGTTCTGTGGAGTGAAATAACTTTCTTTTATCCCGCGCAGTGCAGTTTGCAATTATCTCTTCTATGAAACCCTTGTACTTAATCAATAGTGCGATAGCAGCTGCAGTCACATCTTGTTATATGGCACTTGGTTTTGCCATCACTTTGAGTATTGATTTTGCACTAGCTTCTAAAACTCGCTGGCTTGTGAAGTTAATACAGACCTTAATGAGACAATCAAGTAGGTGGTGGAGCAATCATAACATTATCTCAAGAAAGCGATCTTCCCTGGGATTGTTCTTTGATTCAGTTTGGCTTCTTTGAAATGCAACTCTTGGGGTGTACCTGTGGGTTCAGGGGTGTCATTCATTATTACTGAAGCTGCATTATGCAGATGGTGCATGCGGTTCGGAAGTGACCGGGGCAGCTCAGGGCTCAGAGCCAGGGTTGTTCTGCTCCCGGGGTGCACATCGCTCTCTCCTTGCATAGGTGTTCCTGAAGGCAGGTGTTCTCAGCAGGCTGGAGAAGCAGCGTGACAAGCTGATAGCTCAGAAACTGATCCTCCTCCAGGCAGCCTGTAAGGGTTTCCTCAGCCGTCAGAAGTTCAAGAGGCTGAAGGTACCCATCCCGTGGGTCGGGATGCCCTGAGTCCACCAAGATATGTGCTTGGGCTGCTGCACAGGGTCAGGGCTGCTGTGATACCTGCAGGTACAACGCCTTGCTGTCCGCTGCATCCAGAAGAACGTGGTGGTCTTCCAGGCGGTCCGGCACTGGCCCTGGTGGCAGCTGCTGAGCCGTGTGCGGCCCTTGCTCAGCATTAACCTGGCAGAGGAACAGCTGCGAGTAAAAGAGGTAAATTCCATGGGATGGGATGGGATGGGATGAGTTGGGACAGGATGGGATGGGACATGATGAGAGGGATGCTTTGGGAGCTCTGCCTTGTCCTCCCTGAGAGGTCGTTGGTGCTAGACCTGCTGAGCTGAGCCTCTTGGGATGATGGGTGAGCTGAGCACCCAAACAGCCTTGTTGCAGGGAATTTTTCTCTGTGCTATTGCCAGAGCTGTGCTTCCATCCAGGCCAGAACTGATGATGTGAGCCTCCCACGGGTATTTACTGGCCTGGGAATGTCACATTTCACCCAACCCCTTGGAGCTGGAATTAGGTGATCTTTAAGGTCCCTTCCAACTTAATCCATTCTTTGATTTGTCATGCTATGAGACCTCTGTTAAATTCATAGTCCGTATTCCCCAACATCCCATTCGTGTTTTTGCCTTAGGGATGTCCTAACAAGATGTTTCCAGGCTGGCTCAGATAAAACAAACACTGCCCAATCTCCATTCTGTCATTCCTTTTGAGACTGCCTCTGTACGTATGAGGATGTGCTCTGTACATAGACCAAAGCTGACATTCCCTCCAATGGAATTCATGTCAGGAGCTGGAGTCCCAGCAATTTGCAGTGAGCAGCCTTCAAAGCTGTCTGCTAGATTTTCTTAATAAGGCAGCTGTGTCTCTCCCACTTATTTTTAAAAGAAAACAAGACCATCATAAGCAAACTGAGGATGCCAGAGCTCTCACTGTGTGTTTTCCTGCAATCTTACCTAGAAGGAGCTGGCGGCACTCAGAAAGAAGCTGGAGAGATCGGAGCAGTCGTGCAGTGAGCTCAGGCAGAACACTGAGAAGCTGGAGAGCAAGGTAGGGCCTGAAAGAGCCCTCTGCTCACTCATGTCAAAGTTATGCCCTATCAGGATAAGCGTGGCCACAGAGGAAAGGTGTTGGATGTTGTGCACTGGTGGCCTTTGGGACTGGTGTCACCACACTGACAGGGTGACCGTGTGGATGCTGTCCCTTCTGCTGGCAAAAGGCAATTGTTAGAACAGGAAATGGCACATAGTTGTTTCATGTTCCCACTATGCTCTCCAAGCAGCTGTCTTGGTGACTTCTGCAAGCACCTTGAGTGGCTTTGTTTAATGGGACCAATGCTAATAATGAGGGAAAGAGCATGGCAGGATCATCCCGCTCACTGCTGCGGCTCAGCCTTGATCCACTTTGGATTTGCTCGTTTCTCTGATCTTAGGTGCAACACTCTGCCTAGCTGTGCCAGTACCCTCACCGAGCACCCTCTTCTTCAGGGGGAAGTGTCTGCTGATTATTTTGCTGTAGCTCTGCACTTTAGAAATGCAATTGCGCTCCTGAGGCTGGGGACCGCCACGAGAGGCTAATGCTTTATGACAGACCTCGAAAACACCAGCTCCACAGGGGAAGTAAGCCTATTGTGCTTACTTACCCAAATTAAAGTTGCTGGACCTCTGGAGAGCTTTTATAGCATGTCTGCAGATTGAAGTGCCTTAAAATGCTGCTGGATGCAGGAACAGGAGTTTTGAAGCCTGCGTGCTGCCTGCTGGCCTGGCTAATGCTGCCCCTCGTAAGGATAGTCCTGCAGAGCTGGATTAGCAGGGCAGGCTGTGTTTGCATTTGTAGAAAGTGCAATCAATCTAACAGATTAATAACACCCTTTTATTCATGTGCTTTTTTTGCTTCAAAGGAAATTTCACCCCTAATCAGCTAGAAAACTGCAGGAATCTGGTGAGCCCTGCAGGCAGCGCAATGCAGGCAGTGCAGTGCAAACAGCACTTCGCTGCAGGGAGACATGTGAGCACACTGCTGCAGCCACACGCTTTGCTGGTGGTTGCTCTTTCCTTGGCACTGCTGTTGGGTTCATGCAGGGCACTGTACATGCTCCCTACCAAAGGGCAGGCAGCAGCCAGCTGGGAGACAATGGGTCTGTGTGTGCTCACATGCGTGGCAGTGCCCAGCCTGACATTGCATTGCCCCCAGATCATCGACCTGACGATGGAGCTGTCAGATGAGAGGCACAAAGGTGACGTTGCCTGCCAGGTGCTGGATGGGGAGAGGGCAGAGAGGCTGCGGGGCACTCGGGAGCTGCAGGAGCTGCAGGTAGGAGAGCCCGGACAGAGTCTCACTGTGCCTGAGTGCCCCAGCAGTAGGGTCATCTGTTCCCTCCTTCCCTTTCTTCCCCAGAGCAAGCACGACGAAGTGCAGAAGAAACTGGAGTCAGTGCAGAAGCAGCTGGAGGAGGCCCAGCAGTTGGTTCAGCTGCGTGAGATGAAGATAAGTGGCTCTGAAGGAGGTAGGGCAGCCCTTTGGACACAGTGCATGCTTCAGGTGTCCAGCCAATGGGTCCCCTGTGCAACCCTGCTCCCTTGGCCCCTGGCCACCCCTCTGCATTCTTAGCATGCTGTCATTCTGCACTGCTCGCTCAGTGGTGGCTGGAAGCTCTTTCTCTTGCATGTTGAAGGCCAGGTTGGATGTGATCATGGGCAACCTGATCTAGTGCCTGATTTAGCGGTTGGCAACCCTGCCCATGGCAGTGGGGTTGGAGCTTGATGATCTTTGAAAGTCCTTTCCAACACAATCTGTTCTATGGTTCTACATATCTTGTTTGTGGGTTGGATGGGAAGACAGCAGGCTTTCTGCCCCAGGGGGCTGCTGGTGCTCACCCAGCGCTCCCAGCAGCTCAGCACGTGCTTAAAGCGATGGGGAAGCTGAGGAGTGATGGGACGTGTGCATGCTTTGCCTAGGGCAGGAGCCATGTACAGCCTTGGGTGTACAAAGCAGAGCTGTGCTCCGTGCCCCATGGGAGCCACGATACCCAGCTCTGGCCCATTTGCAGAGGACGCATGGCAGGTGCGGTTCGACTGCGCGCAGACGGAGATCGCCTTCCTCCAGAAGAGGCTGGCACAGCTGGAGGAGCGGCTGAGCGCCGAGCTCAGCTCCAGGACAGGGCTTGAGCAAAAGGCAAGAACTGGGGAGGGGGCTGCTGGATCCGGGGCTCTGGAGGCCATTCCCAAGCTTGCACTCCCAAACTGATGGTCCTTGCCCAGCAATGGTGCTGGTGGAGCTTTCTGGGGCTCCATCAGAAAAGCGGATGCTTGCTGCTGGGGAAATTGTCTGATTTTTGCTGGCTTGAGAATAAATACCCCAAAGTTTCTTTTGGCTCAAAAAGTCCCCTTTGCAGATCAAATTCAGCTTTGGCCAGGTGTGAGTGTGAGCCCAGGGTGGAAAGCTGAGAGGTGTGTGGAGTGGCTCAATCATGGGCCTGGGAGACTGGGAGGGGTGCTGGCATAATCTGCCATGCTAAGAGCTGGTCATGTAAAGATATAGCTGTTCCCAAGCTTTGGACAGGAGACACAAAGCTGTTGTGCTTCTTGGAGAGTGCTGGGTGCCAGGTCACTTCTCATAAGCATAAAGAAAAGAGATGGGTGTTATTCATGCTACATTAAAAAGTAATAAGAGAAACAAACCAGACTTAAGAGCTTGAGTAAAGCAAAACATCCCATTTGCTTTCAGGCAGCTCATTTGGAATTACAGGCTTCATTAGTGCAAGATTTTGCTTATTTAAAGTCATTCCTTAACGACTCCGTTCCCCAGAGGGCGAGAGCTCTATGTGCTGCCATGCCCTGCATGATGCGAAACTTTGGGAAAGCAAATCCTCTGTGCAGAGCAGCATTGCTCTTGGAGGGGTTGCTCTGGGATGGTGGGGGTCTGGCTGGTGCCACCCCCAGCCCCATGCCATTCCCCATTTGTCCCACAGCTGGGTGAGGTGCAGGCAGCGTGCCAGGCGGCACGGGCAGCAGCCCAGCAGCTACGGCGGCGGTGCAGACGGCTGACCTGTGAGCTGGAGGATGCACGGGTGCTCGCTGAGAGCCAGCAGAGCCGCAGCCATGAGCTGGAGAAGCGGCAGAAGAAGTAAGGCCAGGAGTGGGCCAGGGGTACTGGGGAGGGAAGTGCAGGGTTGAGGATGCTCAGCTTTCCTCACTGTGCCACATCCCTTGCTTGCTCTGCTGGGTGAGATACCCTTCCCTCTGGGATCAGCTCTGGTGCATTGAAGCCACCACATTGGTGGTGAAGCCACCTTTGGTGCTGGAAGGGTGGGTACTGCCATCTCCTTGGGCTGCTGGACTTGTTCTGGGGTGGTTTGGGCCACGGGTGGCTGCTGCAGCAGATCTCAGCTCTTGGCCACTTCTGACTGCAGCCGGTGTGCCAAGAAGTTTGGGATTCGCACAGTGACAACAGCGCTTTGCAGAGCACAGGCATCTTGTCATCACAAAAGTGCTTGGCAGGACCAGGCTGAGATGCAGCCCTGTGTCTCTTTTGCCCAGCCATGCTGGCAGCAGCACCATGCATTTTCCTCCAGGTTCGACCTGCAGCTGGCCCAGGCCCTGGGAGAGTCTGCCTTTGAGAGGAGTCTTCGTGAGAAGGTGGTCCAGGAGAATTCCTCCCTGCAGTGGGAGATGGGCAAACTGCAGCAGAACCTGGAGGTGAGAGGGAAGTGCTTCGCTCCTCAGCTTTGCATCCTGCGAACAGTGCACACAGCAAAGCCATTGTCTGTGTAATCACAGAGTCAATCCGATGCAAAGCCAGCATAGTGACTCTGATTGATTACGTTTGGCACCATTCTAGGGGGTGCCTGATGTATTCCCATAGCATTGCCCTCTGTCAGAACAAGATCACATTTTGCAAGTTAAGCCCCATCCCTTTGGTTGGCTGGTGTTCTGACTTGTGCTCTTTTTCATGCCTCCGTCCTCAATCCTCCCCCTGCAAGAAACTTCCAGGCTGTGCCCCCAGAGCAGGACCGTAGTGATGCTGGGGACAGAATCCATGCTGGGAAATACGAACACAACTCTGTTCAAAATCACGTGTGATGGGGGGCACTGCACCGTGTTTCACAGCTTCCCCTGTGCCCATGCTTCCATGGGGCGGAGCACAATGATGCTGTGATTTGGCAGGTGTCAGAGCGTGGCAGCAGTGTGGTGGGCTGGGGGCTGCCAGAGCACTCTGGATGAGGTAACTGTGGTCCAGAGCAGCAGAGGGAAAGGATTGCTCCGAAAGATGGGCTGGTGTTGGCCATAGAACTGCACAGCTTCCTGGTGCTGTGGTTGGAAGCAGCCCATGCTTTGGGCGCAGTGTGCTGACCTTACTCTGTCTCCTCCCGAGCAGCAGCAGCAGGCGGAGGGGGCCAGCCTGGCACAGAAGGTTTCACAGCTGGCTGGCCGTGTGCAGGAGCTCAGTGCTCCCGGTGCCATGGACTCCTGCTCCGTGCCCGTGCTCAAGCAGCAGCTCTGGGATCTGGAGGCCAGCAGCGCTGAGCAGCGCAAGGAGCTGGAGCGGCAGACAGCCAATGTGGATCACCTGGAGCAGGTAGGGCAGCCCTGTGGGGGGATCCTGCAGTGCGAGGTGTGAGTGAGGGTGCATTCGCCTTCGGGTCTTTCAGCTGCACCAGAGGCTGGAGCTGGAGATTGAGCGGATGAAGCAGATCCACCAAAAGGAGCTCGAGGACAAGGATGAGGAGCTGGAGGATGCACGGCAGTCCTGCCAGAGGAGGGTAGGTCGGGCTGGGGATGAGGGGTCCTTCCTCCCCAGTGGGCACCAAGGCAGCAGCCCAGGGCATAGTAGTTGAATTTTGCTTTTGCTGTTTCAGGAAGATGGGGGATGGGAGGCAGATGGGGAGAACTCTGCTCCCGTGAGCATGTTGGTGCCATACTGCTGTGGCCGCTCGTGCTGACAGCATGTCATTCATCCTTCTCTCCCTCACTCTGCATGTGCTGTGCTCTTACTGTGTTCTTGTTACAGCTCCGGCAGCTGGAGATGCAGCTAGAGCAGGAGCACGAGGAGAAGCAGACAGCTCTGCGCGAGAAGCAGGACCTGGAGGGGCTCGTGGGCACGCTGTGTGAGCAGGTGAGCGTGGGGCAGGGCTGGCTGCTCCACTCAACCAGCTCCAAATGCTGCACATGCAGACAGGATGATGGAGCACATGTGAACAGGGTGATGACGCGGCCAACTCCCCCGGCGCAGTCATTGATTCTTTGTACAGCATCACTTGGAAGGTCCATCCATAGAGGGAGGTATCTGTTTGTTTCACGAGAGTCAAACAGAACACGACTGACTCTGCAGCAGCTCCATCTGCCCAGAGAAACAGTTTATTATCAATTGCAATTTGCGGAGGAATTCTGTCCCAGACACATTTGCTGAACAAATCCTTTTTCACTCTCTAATGTGTCTGTGGCAGTGATGGAAGCACATGTAATGAGGAAAGCACACCCAGCTGCTCTGTGTTCAATTAGAAGGCAAGGAATGGAGGCAGCTCCACTGAACAGCATTTAGCAGCTTGGTCATCGCTGCAGCTCTCATGCCCCAGTTCCTGCAGTGACAGTGCAGGGACACGTAGCACCAGGGGTAGGACAGGGTCAGCTCAGTGCCTGGCTTTGTGCTGATGCCTCCTTCCTGACCAAATCCACCGTCTGCTAGGGCAGACGTTGAGCCACGCAGGAAACAGTGCTGAACAGCGTCCAAGATAAGGTCTGTAGGGATGGTGGGGATAACAGCAAGTCGGCTGTGCTGTACGGTTGTTATGAATACCGCCTGACATACAGTGGGCAGCATGCTTCAGAACAGTTTATAAAAAAAGGGGAAAAAAGCCAACTCAGAAAACTAATTAAGGCAATGGAGATGCCAACGATTGTGGGTTTCAGCAAATACCAGCCTGCTCGGAAGGAGGTTACGAGGTCAAACCTGCACTATTAATTTTAGCCAGGGAACAGAAAATAGGAGAGCGGGGCTGAAACAAGAGATGCTGAGGAAAAGAGATGGAATGGAAAATGCTCCCAGTCTTCAATTAGCCTGAAACCACGTCCTGGCTGTGTGGTGCTTTCCTCATTCTTTTATATGCGTAACCATGGTTGCTTTCTGTTGGAAGGAGGAGCACAGAGGGTGGTTTTTTTTTGGAGGTGCTTCCTCCTTCCCTTCCTTAAATGGCTGCTGACAATGCTGAGCAGTGTTGGGCACAGTGCAGTGGTGATCTGCTGCTGGAGGTCCTTGTGCAAGGAGCTGGTGCTCCCCCAGTGATGCTGCAGCCTCAGTTCCACAGCTGTGGGGCTGATGGAGGTTCCCAAAGCCTTGTGTCAGTGATGTGTTAATAGCTCCCAAGGATGCTTTCCTCACCAGTGCTTCACGATTTATCTCTTTCCCCTTTGGGCTCAATTCCTCATGCCTTTGTTCCTCTCCTTACCATTTATCCCCAAATTTTTCTGGCTGTCTCCATCACCCAAAGGATTTCATGTTTCCTCTGCTGCAGCTCCCAGCATACTTTAGGGTCTTTCCCCTCCAAATTTGAGGCCACTGGTGCCTCAAATCTGGGAAGAGTGGGAGGCATGACCCTGGATCTGCCAGCACAGCCACAGTCTGGCCCATGTGAGGAGCCCCAGTGACAGTTCTGGAAGTGCCCTGGGAACAGATGGGATGGAACCCTGTAGGAACACTTGGAGAACAGGGCAGGCAAACGCCTTGCAGGGAACCAACGTCCCAGTGGGGAAAAAATGCAGCATTTTGCTGCAGCCTGTTACTTTTGATGCATGATGTGTGCTCAGCTTCCTGCTCTCCCTCCCAGATCGGCCACCGCGACCTGGATGTGGAGAAGCGGCTGCGGAGGGACCTGCGCCGGACACGTGCACTGCTGGCTGATGCACAGCTGCTGCTGGCTGCCCCCACAGAGCCCGGAGCCACTGGTGCTGCCGAGCTGCAGCGGCTGCAAAAGCAGGTGGGCACCAGGGCTGGGGAGAAGGCAGCAGGTGGGCGAACATCACTCTGCCCCTGGGCACAACCTCACTGTACTGCTGGTGATGCTATCTGTGTGAGGACATGACTGCTTCTCCAGGGGTGCCACTCGTGCGCCCTGTTGCAGGCACGGTGGGAGGGACTTTGTGGGTCACCATGTAGGTGAGCAGCGCCGTGCTCACGCCATGCAGTGCGTGGTGCTGGTGAGGGTCGTCTTGCAGGAAGCACTGCTCTGTAATTACGCCAACAGCAGTTAAGTGTTTTTTTCCTTTTTTAGGCAGCCCTGTTAATTACCTTCTGTTCAGTGTGCTTTCTGCCTTCTAATAATGCAATCCAGAGGCCTTGTTTTCAGGCGTGTTGCCATAGAAATGGCTGCACACAAGGCACAAACTGCCAGAGCAGGGACCACAGCTCGTGTGCTGCAGACTGAGCGCAGACGCCCCGAGTGCCACGCACCGGTGTTGGGGTGAGCGTGTGGGCACCGCTGTGCACTGTGGGGGCACAGGCAGACACAGAGCCATGGTGCAGCCCAGCCTGAGGCTGGCACGCAGGTCACTGTGCCCTCAAGTTGGTGATAGGTACCGCTGCTGCAGCATGTGCAGAGCACCAACTGGGCTGTTGACGCCAGTCCTCTGAAACCACGCAGTAATTAATCTCCATTGTGCATTTTCCCTGAAAACAAACTAATCGGGAGGCATGAGCAATTCCAACAACACACAAATATAATTGAGATAATAGATCTGCATAAATAACAGCTGTGAGCAGCAGCTGTTCCCACCTGCACAGGAGAGAAGGGGAAGGTGAGCTCTGCAGCGGGGCCGCTGGTGTGCTCATGTCCATGCCCATTCCCATGTCCATTTCCATGCTGCTGATCTGGGCAGCTGGATCAGTGAATGACCATGACCAGAGGGCAGCAGGAGCTCCACTTGCTTGAACTCCTGAGTGATCTCAGACACTGTGAATTGTTTTGCTCTCTTTACCAACACACTTAACAATTTCCTGAGTCCCGCTCCAGGGCTGGAAGTGATGCACAGCCGTGCTGCACTGTGCTATGAGAAGGACAGAGGAAATATTGGGAATATTGCGTTTCTATTATGCTGCCAACGCTGAGATTCTGCATGCATTAAAAATGCCTCATTGTTACGTCGTCCCTTAAATTGAAATGATTCCTAATGGCATCCATGATGAGGTTTTTCGGAGCCCAATCCGTCCTACCACCAGCCCACAAATCTCCACAAGAATAAAAACATCGCTCAAACGCCACCATTTCCGTTAATCAAAATCCATATGGTCAAAAAGAGTAGCATTGCTTCTTAATAAGTCTGAAGCATCCATTTCGTGCAGGTATTTAACAGATGGCGTAGCACAGCAAACGAATGTTGTTCATCCATTCATACATTATGCATTTCTGGGGGTATTTCAATCTATTCTTCCCAAGTGGGAAAATTCCATTGCGTAAATTGAGAGGAAAGTGTTTAATGAGAGGTCCTGGAGATGAGTTTCTCTCTGGTTAAACTATATGGGGTTTTGGTATGATTGTTCAGGGAGGAGCTGGGAAGAGGTGGGAAAATGGCATGTGCCACTGCAAGATGGGCTCTGTGGGTATGGGAATAGATTGCCCAGGCAGTTCATTGAAACAGGAATAGGCTGGATGCAGGAATGCAATTTTAAACCACTGTTCTGTGGGATCCCTGCTGCTCAAAGCCAGGCCATCACAATTCAGGTGCTTCAGGCCCCTTGTCTGTGTAGTGCAACTGTTCAGAGACCTTGATGATGCTGCCAAGACAGGGAGAGTCATTGGCCTTGAGGAAAAAATGACTTCAATTTCCTCTGCGTTAAGCACTAGGGGAGCAAATTACCTACTGAACTTCTCTAAGTACATCTCGCTCACCACAAACAGTTGAGGAAATGGAGTGAGGATTGCTCCAGAGCTTCATAAGACCACTTTTTATTGAAGGAGGGAGTGAAAAAAGGCAGTGAAACATCCCCACTGAAAATGGGCAGAAATGCCTAAAGGCTGGCAGTGGGGATAGCCCTGTCCTCGCCAGCGTGTGAGCCCTGCTTTGCCCCCAGTACATAGAGAATGGGCACAGGAAGCATGTAGCAGGTGAGGGGTTTGCTTTCCTTTTTGATAAACAAAAGAAACCTGAGCTCTGCAGAGAAGGAACTGCACGTTCAGGTACAGCCCACGTATGTTCCTCCATCTCAGCGGTGAGGACTTTGGGGATGATGCTGCATCTTCCGGGTGTTTGCAGCCCATTTAAGATTATTGTTGTTTTAATGGCTGAGCTATAAAAACCGAGAGCAAATTAGCATTTATAAATGTGGTATTTCATGTGTATTTGCAAATGCAATTTATGCGACGTGAAAAGCCCATTTGAAAACTCCAAGTCGTGAATTGCTCTAATCAGGAATTACATGTAATTCACATAATTTTGCAAATTAATGATCCCAGCTCTATCTCATCAAGGCAGCGGGCGCATGATGTGGGGTGCATGCTTCAGCCCCAGCGGGACACGGATGGGTGTTGGCAGCACAGCCGCTGCAAAGGGAAATGTTCTGGTTGAAGCACAGCAGCAAAAGGTCATAGGAGCAGTGCAGAATTTAAAAGGCTGAGTTTTGGTGTGTGAGCAGGGGAAATGCTCTGGGAGTGCAGTGCAAAGAGACGAGGCTGTGCAGCGGGGGAGCAGCGTGTGTGTTGTTAGCATCTCCCTCCATCTCTCGCAGCTGGAAGAGAGCGAGGCGAGGTGCGCCGAGGCCCAGCGGTCCCAGCAGGCAGCAGCCCAGGAGCTCGAGAACCTGCATGTGGAGATGGAGATGCTGAGCAGGAACAAGACCCTGGTGCGCTCCTGGGGCAGCGTGGTGCTTGGTGCAGGGATCAGCCTGTTTACTGAGTCACCTGCCCTGGCGGCTCAATGGATAGGAAGACTGAAAGCACGCAGCATCCCTTAACCCCCCTCCAGAGTTCCTTTTCCTCCCCCTGGTGTGAGATCCCAGCCTAGCAAAGCTGGGTGCCATACTGGATCCTGTCTTGACGCACGCCTTCTGCCCTCAGGCGGATGAGCAGCTCAGCCAGATGCAGCACGAGAGAGCCGAACTCCTGCGGCGTGTCAGCGAGGACCAGGAGGACCTGAATGAGCTGATGGCCAAGCACAAGGCTCTGATTGCACAGGTAGGAGCCGGGCAGTGCCAGCTCTGCAGTTTTCCCTGCCTGGATGTTGCTTGGAAAACCCAAGCTCCAAGCAAATGGCCCAGTGGGGCTGCCTGCACAGCAGGGCCATTGGGCAGCAAATGCTGTTCAGAGAGGAAGACACAGCCCCAACATCCCTACCTGCATCCTGATCTATCAGTACTTTCCGGAGTGTTTTGTCACTCAGAGCTTTCAGAGCACTGACAGAGAGTGCTGTGGCTTTCTGTGTAACACACAAAGTAGGACAAGCTCTCCCAAAAGAGGGAACCCACTGCTCCCTGTGGAGCAGCCATCGGCAGAGGGCTGGGCTGCATGAGAACTCCTAGTCTGTTCCTTAGTGGTGATGGTACAGAGCTGGGAATTGGCATTTGGAAGCACTTTGGGGAAATGAGCTTGACCATGAGATCTGAAAATATTTGCTTTGAAAATTAGGGAAGTTGCATTCAGGCAGCAGAATGAAGCTTGCTGTGCAGTGTGCAATGCCCCTGCCTGGGAGCATTCGGGTGCTACTCTGGTCTCAGGGTCTGCTTCCATTGCTGGCTCTCTGTTCCCCAGTCTGCAACAGATATCGCTCAGATCCAGGAGCTGCAGACACAGGTGGAGGAAGTGAAGAAGGAGAAGCAGAGCCTCCAGGAGAAGGTACTTTCTGCCCTGCTGCACTGCACAGAGGTCAGCAGTGAGAACCTTTGTTGTTCTCACGCCTGGTGAACCACATGAGAGCAGGCAGCAGGATGCCATCTTCCTGTTGGAAGTCAAGCACCAAGGAGCTGCAAAGCAATCTCTTCCCCTGTAAAACAGCTGTGTTCTAATTCACCTGCAAATATCCCATACATGCCTCTGGTAGCTGGGAGGCACAGAACCTGCTGCCCTCTGGCAGGGGTAGAGATGGAATGGGGCTGAGAATGGGATGGAGGTGAGGATGGGATGGAGGTGAGGATGGGCATGGACATGGTGATGGGGATGGGATGATCTGCCTGCACTGGGAGCTGGAGGGCTCTTCCAGCAATAGCCTGAGGTTAAGCAAGGTTTTTCCCTGCATGGCTCTTGGGAATGAAGGAGAAGCAGGGTTGTGGGCCTGGGGCAGCACAGCCTCATTGCTGTGGCTGCTCCGCTGCCCTAGAGTGCATGCCTTTAATTTTAAACACATGAGTAATCCCATTAACTTAAGTGCTTTATTGGAGCGTGGCTAAGCTGCCCAAGAATTGGAGATAGCACTCACTCACTCTGAGATGGAGTGAGCGCTTTTGTAGAGATAGGCCAGATAAAAGATGACAAATTCCCCTAGTTCTAGGTCAAATATAAATCTGAACTAAGCTTGTGCCAGGATTGCTAAAAGGGCAGTTTGCTTTGGAGATCCCAGTAACAGCTGAAGAAAAGGCTCAGTGCAGCAGCCTTTTCAGCAGAGGTGAATTGTGAATTTTTATGCCTACTGTCCTCAAAGAATGTGCTGAGAAGAGAAAAGCAAAAGAAACCCAAGTGAGTGCTGTCCTGCTGCAACATTTTCCTTTCAAAAATCCATGCTACTGTCATGAATTTATTGCACAGTGTGAACAGAAGGGCGTCCTTCAGGGAGCTCTGGGCAATATTTTCCCATTGTGCCTGGCAGCTCACAGCAGGTCCCATGCTTTCCTTTTGTCTTTAGACTAAAGAGAGAGTTTGCTCGCCCTGCGGCCTTACTGTGGCCGCAGAGATCATCTCATGGTGGGGAAGGGAGGTGATGGGCACGCTGCTGGCAGCTGCTGTGACATCTCTTTCCCCAGCTACTGGTGGCACAGGCAAGTGTGGCACGCCTGGAGCAGCGCCCTGCTGAGCGCGCCGTCATCAGCCGACAGGAAGCCCGCATCCGTGACTTGGAGAGCCAGCTGGACTTCCAGGCTGTGCAGATGAAGCGCTTCGAGGTATGGCTGTGTTTCATCATGCAGGGTGGGCACGGGGCTCCTGGCAAGAGGTAGGTGCAGGGTGCTTGGCACCTGGGCAGAATGCTCTCTTGGTGAGCTTTCTGACTCCTCATCCCATCTTGCTGCCTCCCCAGGTGCTGGTGCTGCGCTTGCGAGACAGCATCATCAAAATGGGCGAGGAGCTGGAGAAGGCAGCTGAGTCAGAAGCGCGGGAGAAAGAAAGCACCAAATACTACCAGCGGAGGATGGAGGAGATGAAGGCAGACATGGATGAGCTGGTGCAACGGGAGCTGGAGTCCAGCCGCCGGCGTGTGGAGTTGGTAAGAGGTCCGGGGGTTCTGCTGTTCACAGCTCCATAGTGCTGCCCATGGAACCAAAGCCATTGCTGCCACACCTTGTGTTCATTGCTCTGCAGCTGGGCTGGCAGGCCCTCTACTTTTCCACATGCTGAGCTGCACCCAGCACAGGGCAGTGCCCATGGGGTGCCAGCCCACTGGGCAGAGACATGTAGTTCAGTCCCCACAGCGTCCCCAACCGTGGCCATGCCTCCTCTGTGCCACAAATCAGTCCCAGTCAATGTCAGCAAACAGTTAACCTGCTCTGTGTGCTCAAAGCCCCGAGCAGATTGGGAGTGCGGCAAAAATAGCTTCACCTTCATCGCACAGTCCTCTCCTGCATCTCTTTTCATGTTGTGTTTTTTCAGTAAACAAAAGGAAAGTCTTGCTTCCAAGCAGTAATTGAAAGATATTGCATTTCTTCCAGCAAGACAGCCGCATTAGAAGCAGTTATTTTATCAATAATCTTTTATTTAACAATCAAGGAGAATTCGCCATTTCTTTCACCCCGAGGCTGCCAGCCTTTCTGAAGGAAGCGGTGCTTCAGCACGAATTATTCCTCAGTCGCTGTGCATGCTGCAAACAGGCTTTGTCCTTGCTCCTCCAGCCTGCGTGCTGCCTCGTGGCACTGGCTGCTGTATTTGCACAGAATGTAAGACATCTCCTGGGCACATGGCACAAAAGCCCGTGAACAAACTTGTAGCAGATGTGGGGGCTGGAGCAGCCTGGAAATTTGAGGTTACCCATCAGCTGCAGGAGGGTGGAGGGGGGGTCCTGGGAACCCCCATGGAATTGCTCTGATTGCACTTCCCCAGGCATCACGGGAGAGCTGCGCTCAGGCACGCTGAGCAGCAGGCATCAATAGTTAACAGAGAGCTATTACAGCTCTGCTCCCACTAAATCCCCCATCTATTATAGATACTGCATGAATTATTCACTTAACATTACTTAAGTCATGGTCTGCACCTAACGGTTTTTTGATTTAAATAAACAGTCGCGAGGCTGTGCACTCACCAGGCCCTGCTGGGGGTTTAGGAAGCTCACAATGGGAGATGATCGTTGCTCAGCTGGGATTGGGAATGGGTCTTGTTTTCCGGGGTCCTGAGAACTACTACCTCTACATCAGGTTTTCCTTCTCACAGCTCTGTCCTCACATCATGTAACCCCGTCCCCATCCCTGCCGCTCCCAGGACGGCTGCGCGTCCCTCGCTCGTTCTGAACCCAATGGGGGCAGCTGGGAGGCAGGCGCTGTCCGTGGTGCTGGCGCCAACCTGCAGGCACGGGGGTGCAGCGCCCAGCTGGTGCGTGGCGCCCAACCCGTAGCAGGGGGATGGAAATAAACGGTCTTTAAGGTCCCCTCTAGCCTAAGCCGTTCTATGATTCTGTGATGGGAGCTGAGGAGCTGCCTGCCAGGCAGATGGCTCTGCCTTATGAATTTTGTAGGAAGAATGAGTTCTGAAAGCATTCCAGGCCCCGCACCATCGCATAGAGGGACGCAAGTTTTCTAATGGAGGGCACAGTTCTTGGCCCTGACTGTCTCTGTCTTTTCCTCAGTTCCATGTCCTGAATTTCCCCCAAGAAGCTGCAGCTCCTCTTGCTTCACAGCAGAACCCAAGCTGTGGCATGCAGTGATGGGTGGATTTTTCAAAGCTAGAGTCAGTCCTGGGGAGTGTGAAACCAAGCCTGAGTCTCTTTGCTCATTATTATCCTCATGCATTTATGCTCATCCCAGCACATGAGCCCTTGCCTTGGCAGGGCAGGGAAGGATGTAGGGCTCTGAGCCACACTGCTGCACCACAACGTCTTGTAAATTCAGCTGCCTTTAATGAAGCTGTGAAATTAATCAGTGTAATAATTAACTACTTCCACAGAAAATCAAAGTACAGATGCTAAAATATTCTTCACATGGATATTTGTGGAGTTTTTTGAAGGTGAGAGTCGCAGTGTAAATAACCATGTTTAAGGTTCCTTTGATGGAAGATAGCCTTTGTACTTGCAGCCCTGTTATTACCAAGCTGTCTAGAAAGGTGCAGTGTATCATAGCCTGGTATTTATTATTATTATTATTTTATTTGCAAACTTTAAGGTTGGGTTTATTTGGGCAATTCTAGTGAAGCTGCAAAGGGTAATAGGAGAGGTCTGTGCTAATGGCCACCAGCCCAGCCCTCAAACCACCTCATAGCTGCCCTGCAGCCCTTCCTCTGGGCCCTGCAGCATTGTTCTTTCCCTTAAATGCCAATGGTTTAGGCTAAGAACAATGACAAGGTCACGCAATGGAGCGGCCCTTTGAGGTGAGCCTGGGTGATGGGAGCTGGTGGGCGATGCTCCACCATACACGCTGATTAGCTGTGCCCTACAGTGGGCACGTGATTCCTGCTTTTCCATTGGAGCAGCAAATTGCCCAGGAAATCATCAGCACTTAACGGCTGCTAACAACACTGCATGCTGCTGGTGTCGGGGCCCCATCCCACTTGAGACTGCAGCCGTGGAAATGTTGTCACTTCAAACTTTGCGAGAACCCGAAAGCTAATTACTTAATTAAAAAAAAATAAGGATTGATGAATACTGCAGGTGTGTGCTAAGTTATTCAGATAGCAGCAATCCAAATTGGGCTAATTAGATTACACTTCACCTCGGGTGGATAAGAATGCGGCAGTTGTGTTGTGACAGCAGAGCCACAAACATGGAGCAGAGATGCAGCGCTTGGCATTCTGCACATCCCAGTAACTGCTTTGCTGCTGCTTTTGCTTATCCCTTCCTAACTTCTAAGAAGTTTGGGGTTTGGGTGCTGTGTGCTGAGTCGGTTCATGTGCTGATGTGTGTCTGTAAGGAAACCTAGTATGGGATTGTCTGCAAAACCAGGCAGAAGATATATTTTATTTATTGATGATAAAATATAGATTAAGCAGACGTTTCTGAGCCGGGTGGGCTGGTTTCTGCTGCATCTGAAGGGTTGGTTAGGTTGGTGGAGGGCGCAGCTCTGCATGCTGGGAGCAGGGTTCAGCTACTGGAAACTCCTAGCATCACAGAACAGTAGGGGTCGGAAGAGACCTCTGGGGATCTTCCACTTCTCTCACCTCAGGTCCAGCAGTGCCTGGCCCAAGCAGTTCCACCTCTGCAGGCAGTGCCAGGCTCTCCCCACTCGAGGGGCAGACTGTGATTTTTCTCAATAGATGCGTTCAGCCTTTTTTGCTTTTCCCTTTTCAGCAACGCTTGGAAGCTCTGCCCGTGTGCAGATGTTACCACTCAGACCCATTGCTGTACTAACAACGAAACGCTCTGTGCATTTATATTTCAATTGAAACAACACGTGTCAGAGGTGTTTGATATTTTCCTGAGACAGCAGTGGGCTGACATTGGGATGTTTGTTGTCAGCTTGCATCATGAAGATAATTTTTTGCATTCAAAATCTAATTATATTGACATAATTATTCCCTTCCATGAGACAGTTGTAGGGTACACTATGTTGTGAATTGCTCTCAGCTCTGCATGGCACTGTGCTTTGTGTTTGATCAACTCGGTACCTGTGGCAATGGCCAAAGTGCCACTGCTGGAAGGAGCTTGTTGTAGCAGTACCACTGTGCCTCAGCACTGCACTCTCCTTTAGGATCAGGAATTCTCAGCTTCCAGGTCACCCCTCAGCCTAGCAATCTGGGGGTTTTGCTCCTTGTCAAGGACCCACATCAGTGCCTGCTGGGTTAGCAGCAGAAGAACAAGAAGAGGAATTAACTGCAGGCAGCAAACTACATACTTCATTAGTGAGGTATCCTGGAGCCAAGGATTTAGCTCAATAGAGAGGCTCTTATCAGTCTTATCAGGGCTCGGGGGTGCTGAATTTTGGGAAGCTTCTTGGCAGTGCTCAGGGTGTTACCAGTATTGGCACCTACCCATAAGCAATGGCAGTACAGTGCAAACCTAGCTGGGCTTTGCATGTTTTTATGAACTGGAATGCTCTTCCCCTGGGGTCCGGCTGCCCTGTGATCCCAGAGCTCCTGTTATTTGCTCTGACAGCCCACTGGCTCCCGCACTGTAGCCTGTCGCAGCCCACGCTGCAAATCATCTCTCACCTTGTCACCACCGAGATGGCAATTTTACAGCTGGCAGCCTCAATCACGTTGAATTTGCAGCTTGCGCTCCCTCTCCTTTTCTCTCTATCGTGTGATGATTTAGAAAACTGCACAAAGAGTTCTTTTTGGGTTCACCCTGAGAAGAGCTGACATCAGATGAGGATGGGTCAGGCATCCCTGGTGCTGTGCGTGCTGCCAGGCCTGCAGTGCTTGTTGTGTTGTGTCTCTTGCCAGGGTTTTCCTCCCTGCAATTTAAATTATAAATTACACTTCTGGTTTTCTTATAAGCAGGTGGTATCTCTGGAAAGTGCTTTGTTTCTAAACAGGTGTGCTTAGAACTCACAATGTGTGAGTGGCCCCAGCAGCCTCCCATAGTATCCAGCCCCACGCTGTCCATGGGAGTCTGGAGCTCAGTGCTCCCAGACCCAGTTCTTTGGGATGTGCCATGCAGGGAGAGATGCTCATGCATGGTATCGTGCTCAGACATTTGTTATGCTGGGTGTCACATTGTGCTTTAGCAGTGAAGCAGCAATGCTCCGAAATCACTGCATGAGTAGCTATTGTGGTGTGCACCTGAACTGTTGCAGTCTTTGCATGCCTCCCAGCACAGAGATGGGCAGCCCCACTTTGTAGGAAGGGATGCATGGCTTGGAACCCATGGCTCTCTTCAAATTTCCTTCTATTTCTTGTCCAGGTTTTATGCTCTGTGTTGGGCTGCACACACACATGCTGATCTGGCACTCAAGAAGATGTCACTTTTTACTAATTAGCCATCTGCAAACCCCGACAATGCACTGCTACAGCCATGCATCTCATGGAATCATAGAATGGTTTAAGTCAGAAGGGACTCCAGAGGCCATCTGGTCCCACTGCCTGCAGTGCACAGGGACACCCACAGCTCCATCAGTGCTCAGAGCCTCATCCCCTGACTTTGGGTATCCCCAGGATGAGGGACTACCACCTCTCTGGGCAACCTGTGCCAGTGTTTTGGTGCTCTTAGCGTAAAGAACTGGTTCCTTACATGCAACCAAAGCAAAGGTTCTTCATTCTGGAGACACACTCATCTTTCTGCATAGCAATTTTTGATTTCTCCTTATATTCTGCCCTGAACTCGTTACTGTTTGCTCATTGCTATCAGTTTCCTCCCACTGAGGGATGCTGGTCAGCGATGCAGTGAGACACCCCACTGCAGGAGTGTTGCTCCAGCACTGTTTGCTCATTACGTAGGATAGGGCGTGCATTACACGGTGGGTTTGCAGGTGGTGGGTTGGGAACTGATGCAGCGTGGTCCTGCAGGAGCAGCAGTTGGCCGAGGCGGCGGCGGCACGACAAGGGCTGCAGGCAGACCTGGGCACGGCCATCCGGCGCATCGCTGACCTGCAGCTGGCCCTGGAGGAGCTGCGCGCCAGCGATGACAGCGATGCTGAGAGGTGAGGGGGGAAGGGTGAGCTAGAATCCACAAGCTCAGAAATTCACTCCTTCGTAGTAAGCGATTTCCAATACAATTGGCACATTACAGTGAGGTGAGAAGTGCTTCCCGGCAGTGGTGTCCTCAGCTGCCACGCTTGGCAGCAGCACAATTCTCTGCTCCATATCCTTCCCCGGTGCCCGGTGGTGCTGCAGTCGCTGTGCCCTGGGCTGGGATCTGAGGAAGCAGGAAGCAGGGTGGGGGTTCGTAGCCATGTGATGTGCTGGGAATGGCCTGATTAGGGTTAGGACAGGGAGGCTGTGCTGCTGCTGACTCTGTTCTCTGCTGTTTGCAGCGTGCAGACGGCGCGGGACACGCTGTGCTCCGGGAGAGAGACGTGAGTGAGCTCTGTGCGGGGCTGAAGGAAAATCCCAAAGGATCTCATCCAGCCTGAAACTGGAGCAGGGCTGCTGGGGGTCACTGTTCCTAATGAGCTGCAGGATACAGAGGGTTCTGCTCCCAAATTCCCAACCTGACACTAACAGGGCTCTGCTCTCCCCACAGGGATGCCTGCTCCAGCGTTGGCTCTGTGCTGAGCCTGGAGCCCGCAGAAAGCCTGTACTCCTGGCCAGGCTCATCTATAGGTTGGTCATCCCCAACCGGTGGCAGCGTGGCTGGTAGCATCTCAGCGCTGTCCGTTGGCAGCCGCAGCACCCAGGGCCTGAGGTAAGGGACTGCCTGTGGGGATTGCACCACTGTTTTTTGTTCCAGATGAGATATCTTCAAGGATTTGAGGAAAAAAAGTCAGTTTGTGAAAACCACTCGCAGATCAGCCCAAACACTTCAACAAGAGCCTTCAGTTATCAGATTGTTAATTCTTAGCAATTGAGGAATACATCCCACCTCCTGTTTTGCACAGCACGTTGTGTTTGGGGTGGTTCAGCTAAGGAAAGATATTGATTGGCTTAGAGCCTGCAAGGCTCCATGCCTGACATCTGCAAGAATTTTGCAAAGCTGAGTACTTTGCAAGTGGAGAGTTGTACAGGAGACCCCAGGGCAGTCACAGAGGTGACCAGAGCACGACACAGACCTGTGGCATCACTTACCACTTGAGTAGTGTATATGTGAGCGTGTCTCACCCAGTGTGGACAAGGAGTGGGGGAACTGAGGGAGCTGAGGTTGCAGCATCCAATTGAGGGAGGCCAGATGAAAGCCACTACATCAAAACCATGCTTCAAGCGGTGTAATATCCCTTGATGTATTCTCCAGAGATAATTTAAAGAGGCGATGCAGCCTATTTGAGGATTTGTATGCCATATGCTCACTTTTTGCTTCTGAAGAAACAGTATGCATTTATACAGTTTTAATATGAAATATGTTAATTTCTGACAGCAGTGCTGCCGGGCTGGAAGCAAGCTGGAGGGTGGCCCAAGTGCTCGTGTGGCTGAACTGCTCGGCTCTGTGCCATGCGGCACGGGGATGTGCAGTGACATCCACTGTGCACTGTGGCCAGCACTGCGTGCATCCTTGACAAACCCCTTCTTGGTGTCGCGTGTGTGTAGCAGGTGAATGGGATGAATTTTGTAGTATGCCAAGTTTGGGAAGCTCCATCTCAGAAAGGTGGTGGTAGGTGCAGAGAGGGCACCTGGCTTGTGCGGCGCTGGGGAGACTCTGCTCAGCAGCTCCGCATCCTGTGCTGGTGCAGCATGGGCTGAAGCAGCTCCAGAGCATGAGCCCTGAGTAAGGAAGGTGCTTCCCCTATTTTTCGTGCCAAATGATAGCTTTATAACAAACAGAAGAAACGTTTTTTATGTATCATGTGCTCTTGGCGTAGGTTGCTTCTGGATGTTGCAGCCAGCAGTGTGAGCAGATGGAAGGATGAGCAAGGTCATGCAGGGCTGGGGGTTGCTGCCTGCAGCACAGGGCTTGGGTGCCCCTCCTGTGGTTGCCTCAGGGATGGTGTACAGGGACAGGCAGCACAGGAATGGGAGCTCTGGGAGCAGTTGCTGGGCTCATCCCCCTCAGCACCACTTGACATCCTTTGCTCCAGCTGATCTAGCTGTGGTCCTAAGTTCATGGCAGTAAGTCAGAAGTTATGGCTTATATTGTGTTTGTGAGATGAAGTATAGTGGAATTATAATATATTATAAAAAAAAAAAAAGGCAGATATGTAGGCTTGAGAATTAATAAAAATAACTTACTGGACTGACCATGGCCACAGTGAAAGGAAATTTGCACCCAGATCTGGATACAATGCGGCAGCTGGGGTTTGTGAGAAGGCCAATTTTAAATTCAGTGTGGTGGCTTTGCTTGGCTTCAGCTAATCTGTGGTGGAAACATTAGAGAGGAGTCAATCTGAAACGCAACAAGCAGAATAGGAGAGGCAAGATAATAAAGATGAGATCAGCACAATGAGCTCTTCCGTATCAAGATTCCTTTGTCTTACACAAGCACCCAGCAATGACAAATGAATCTGCCTAGCGCTCGCTTCTCAGCCGTGCACATGGGATGTTTCCTGAACAAACAGCTGTCAAAAGCCAGGGGAAGGAATATAAGGCTATTACTGTCAGGGCAGTGCACAGACTGGAGAGACTTGATTAACGCATTCTTTAATTCTCCACTATTTAAATGCTTGTACAAAATGTTGGACAGCAGGGCTAAGCCTCGCTAAGCATGACACATTGCGGAGTTGGAATAAGCCTTCCATTTTTCATTAGGAAGCAAATTCCAAACTCAGTGGGCTGATCCTGCCGCTTGCTGCAGAACAGCCCTGCAGAGCTGCTGACCCCGAGGTGCAGGCAGGGACACCCCAGGGCCAGGCACAAGGCTGGGCTCTGCCATGCTGATTTTAATTGCGTGGAAAGCAAATCGTTGCACTGAAAGCTGGGAGCTGCTGTAGATGATGGTGTGGTGAGAAAATCCTTTTCTGACGGAAATGAGGCCAATTTCTTCTCTCTCCCTGGAATGGAGTTATCTTGGCTCTATTTATGAGTTACCAGGAAAAGCATCCGAGACGCACTTTTATGCCTGGTCATGTGTTGCAGTGCATGCGTGGATTTTATTGTACAAATTATTTCAACTACCATAATTGTAATCATGTTAATTGCTGTGTAATCTTCGCTAATTATTGTTGTATGTCATTTGCTTTGGTGTGAATGGCGTATTACAGAGTCCCGTTTGGCTCACAGATGCCTCAGAGTTCTGCATGAGGCCCTATTTTTGCCCATGACTTAGGGAAATCTCTGACACCTGGCAACCAGCAGTGCTTTGCTGGGTGGTTGCAGCGTGGTTGAAGCATGGACAGAGGAGGACTGCTGCAGGACAAGGCTGTCTTGCGTTCGTGCCTGGCTTTTTCAGAGTGTAATTAATAGAAAATGAGGTGTAACTCCAGTGCTTTTGTGGCACTAAGGCGTGCAGCAGCAGGGGATGAAGTGCTGGTGGCTGGTGGCAGCCAGGAGCCTTGGGGATCTCCATGGAGCACAAAGCTGAGAGCTGCTGCAGAAAGGCACGTCAGCCTCATTCGTATTCTTCCCTCGAGAAACACACAGTGTGATATTTTGATCTCAGATATGGATCTTTGTGGTGGTACCTCCAGGTTTTGGCAACTTTGCTTCCTTTGAGGAGAAGCGCTAACAGCTTTTGTTGGAAGGACTCGAGTGTTTTAGGTGCTGGAAAGAAAGAGGAAAAGTGTCAGATGCTGAGCAATCCCTGCAGCGATTTCCTATGGCACGGCGCACAGCTGCCTGCACGGAGTGGCTAAGATTCAGCCCTTCTGCTGTGGGGCAGGGATGGGTGAGCGTGGGGCAGACACAACACTTTGCCACCCCCTGGCATCAGGTTGGAGCTGGGGGCAAACACTGTGCTTGCTGTCGCCACTTTGCTTCAGGCTGTAAAGATTTTTATAAAAATAGTAACTGTCCATCTTGCTGAGCAGGGCGATAAATAGCAGAGTGCAGACTGGTTGTGTTACAGCCCATTAGGGTTTCTTACCTCTTCAGTTCCCTTTTATCTGGGTCTTAAAAACCAAAGCAACACATTGAAGCTGACTGTTTAATTTATGAAAGTCGGTCGTGCAGCAGTCAGTTTACACTATTATTTAGAAACGCAGAGAGCGATTGGAACAATTTCCATACAAATTCTCTCTGAAGGATTACACTAGCTATTTAGGTAAGATGCAATTTAGGATCCTAAAGCCCAGCATTACCAAAAAAGTCTGAAGCCATTAATCAGCTGGACGCTGGGTGCAGCGGCGCGGGTGAGTCCTGGAGGTTGCTGCGTTCCACGAGATTAAAACTGTGGTTAATTCCCTTTGCATTGGATAATCAAGCAGTTCAGATCCACTGACGAGCTGAGCGCACTGGGGGCTGGGGGAACATAGAGTGTTCTCTGTTATCCCATTGCTCCTGCAGTTGCTTCCCTTCCCTGGCCATGGAGTTTGTCTTCAGTCCCATGTAAATTATTTCACGGGTCAGCAGAGCCCGCTCTGCTCTCGTCCGGTGTTGTCACCAGGATTATCCACTGTCACCCTGTTCCCATGGCAACCCGAGCTTTCCCTGGGCAGGATGCTTTATTATTGCCGATGGAAAACCTGATGGTTGCTCCTACACTCCTGCTGGGCTCACCAAGGTTTGTTTGTATTTGGGTTCTGCCGCTTTACTTTGCCCTTTTCTCTCTTTCTTTTCCTCTTTTTGGTACCAGACAAACTTAGACCCAGGCAGCCTTCTCATTGCAGCTGGTTTCAGAGTCCCCTTGGTGCTTTCTAACCCTTTTGATGGGGATACTTATGGGGTCCCTGTGCCCAACACCAACCACAGTGCTTGTGTGTGTCCAACTTCCTGGTCTTACCAGCACATGGCTGGGAGTGAGGAACCTATAGATAGTAACTGGCTATCACTGTGCTAAAATTACACTGCACACAGCTCTACAGAGATGCTTCTTTGTTTCAGATGTGCCCTGACAGCATGGCCCTTCTCCTTTCCCTGTAGTGGCACAGGCAGAAAATACATTTTTTCAGCCAGAAAATACATTTTTTCAGCCCTTCAACTGAAAGATGAAGGGGTGAGGGTGCAAAGTGTCACACCTGGGGTTTAGTGACATCAAAGCCACAGGGATTGCAGCCCCTCCCAAGCTCTGTGAGGACAGGAACAGGTTTGATGTAGAAAGCCTTTCTGCAGTGTGCACCAAGACCTGGCCCCTTGAGATGAGAGGGCTTTTGCTGTGGGAACACTCCCCAACTGCTGTGGCAGAAGAGCTACTCAGTGCCATTGGACACTTTGGTGAGGGACCAGTAGTGCCCAGGGGAAGGAGGGAGCACCCTTGTTTCCTCCATCCAGCCACTCTATCTCCATCCCTGCCACGTGAGGCTGGGAGCAGTGTCACTTCTGCAGTGCCAAGGAGCAGGGCTGGTGGCAGGACCACGGCTGGTCTTGGCCGTGGACCCGCTGAGGTCAATGTGGAAGAACGAGCCATGTTGTGATGTTGGTGATTGCTGTTGTTGTTGTTGCCCTTTCTGCTGTTCCATGTCTGCACTCTGTAAAAGCTGCAATCCTGGTAGCAAGAGCCATCTGTGCTGAGCTGATGCCATTCCCTGGGTAGCACCATGCAGAAGGCTCCGTGAGCCCATTGGGGTGAGGGCTGCGTATTTCTGGGTCAGAGTCCTGTTAATGCCAGTGGGTGGTGGGGCTCACCCTTGATGAGCACACGGTGCCCACACCAGAGCGTTTGCATCACGGCTGCTTGCAGGGTGAGCTCCCTCCCCACACAATCACTCTCACTTCTACTCACGTCTGACAGCTGCTCTTCAACAAGCAGATTTTTCCCCACTTTGCATTCGTTTAAGGGGTGAAAACATGTGCTGTGGGCAGAGGGGAGTCCCAGTGCTGCCTGACAGGGTGATGTGCTGCTGTCCTGCTGTCCTCAGAGCCCCTCTGCAGGGCAGATCCCACGTGGAAGCATCTCATCCTAGCTTTGCTGTTGTGCCCTGCCCAGGGCTGGCCTTTGTGCTGCTGTCACACTTCCCTGTGGTTTTTGCTATCTGGAGGAGCACCCTGCAGTAATGTTAAGAAGCATTTGGTTTGTTCAATGAGTTGGTTTCATAAAATGTGAGCATAAATTTGGCTTAGGCAGAAAGAAAACAAATCCTATATATTGCTATAATATGATGAGAAGAAAGGACATTTGGAGGTGTGTGTTGCTTTGGCAGAGCTAAAGCAGATGATGCCATACACTGTATGCCACAGTTAGCTGGTTTTGTTTTACTCAGAGTTATTTAAAGACAAAATCTTTGGGCACTGCTGAACTTTTTGTTGCTGCAATGAGTTTCTTCTGAGATTACCATGCAAATTGCCCCTGCTGGATGGGATTACGGCAGCTTAAACTAATGGCACTCTGTTGTGCAGGGGGAGCAGAGACACCACAGAGCCCGCAGCCACCCGGCCGGGCTCCTCCTTGAGCACCACGAGATCTGTTGATGCCGCAGACACCGGGAAGGCTGTGAGCCCTCTGCTCAGCGCGAGGAGACGGGAATATGGAAAGCCTCTCTCAGACAGCACGGAGCTGACGAGCCCGCTGGACAAACCCGCAGCCAGGTCCCCTCTGCCCAGCGCCTCGGCCGCGCTCTCCGACTACGTGGGGGAGCTGCGCAGGAGGAGGGCGGCGGAGAAGGAGCAGGGCCCGCTGCTGGAGGACGCTGCAGCCCTCCCCATCTACCGCACCACCGGAGCCGCGGCCCTGCGGCGCAGCAGGCCTCGCCTGGGGGATGCGGGCACCGAGCTGCCCGGGGTGAGCGACGGAACCGACGGCGGCCTGCCGCGCTCCTCCAGCCTGCGCGGCCCGGCCCAGCAGCCCACGCTCTCCCCGGTGCTGAAAAGAGCCTCCAAATTCGGTTCCTGCGATTCCCTCCTGCTGTCCCTCGGCGGCCAAGAGCTGCTCGGGCCGAGGCCGTGGAGGAGCCGCCTGGAGCCGTCAGCCGAGGAGGACGGGCAGGCTGCAGACTGGGCCTCACCCGGCACCGGGTTGGGAGAGGGGCTGGGGGGAGACCCCCGTGCCTGGAAGATCCCCACCCTCGACTTTGAGAGGAGAGCCAGCACCGAGCTGGAGGAATTCCTGCCGGCCATTCGCAAATCCCGCTCCACCAGCAGCCTGGCCAAGCCCGGCAGGGACAGGAAGGACGGCCACCGGGCCCTGACCGTCCGCTTCCAAGACGAGGCAGTGGTGGGCGATTCGGCATCCTCCAGGAGCAGGAGCGTGGCACAGCCTGGCCTGGCCCCCGGCAGGGACCGATCCGACTCCTCCTCGTCCTCGGGCTCCATCCTCTCCTCCAGGAGCACCGACAGCATCAAGCAGCGGCCGTGGAGGTCGGACGGAGAGGGCTGCAGCGGGAAGGGCAGCACTGAGAGCAGCGGGGAGAGCCACCGGGCAGAGGCAGAGGGGAAGGAGGATGACGTGAGCAGCATCATGAGGAAGTACCTGGGAAAAGAGTGAGGTAACAGCATCAAGCCGCGAGCCCCGGGACTCTGAGCTCACAGCAGTGATGGCAGCTTTATCCCCAAGCTGCTGCCTGGGCCTTGCTCTGTACCCCTGCAGCTGTGTCCTCGGGGTCCTGCCACGCATCCCATAGACAGCCCTCAGCCCTGTGTCCGCTGGGCTTCCTGCCTGGACACCAAAGGTGACCCCCTCTGCAGTTCCAGATCACAGTCAGGCTGCGTCCTGTAGTTAGCAATTGCCTCTGACAACTACTTGGATCCAATTTTCGGATTACAACTGACACTTCAAGAATTAGGATTTATTACTGCAATCCAGGTTTGAAAGCAAAGTCCCTAATGAATGCGCCACAACTGTAATTAAGTGTTTAAAATAGATTAGGAAAACATTTTGTAAAACCATTGCCTTTAGACGAAGTTATTGGGTGTCAAGCTGTGACCAAATTGACTAAGCCAACAAAAGAAGGGAGCGCGTGTTAATAAAACATTTCTTTCCAGGAAGCAAAATTTGCATAATGCAATGTCCCACTTTCCCCAGACTTTGTCACTATAACAGCAGCAACTGGACTCTGTGCTGTGGCACAAGTGAGGAGCTGCCAGCAGGCAGAATCCCATCCCTCTTTTGGAAGGGCACCCGTTAAGAAGTATGCCGTTCAAACGGGGGCTGAAAGAGGCTCCCCAAAAGTCATGAGTTTTACAGCTGATGAGACTTTTTGGCTATAGTCACACCACAGTTCCTGCACGCTCCTGCTCTGTTCTGTATCACCATGGGGGTTCTCAGGGTCAGCACTTTCTCCTGCAGTCTCCTTGCTGCTGAAGGTGCCTTGTTCCATTGTGGCACTGCCCAGAATTAAGCAACACAGCTGAAGGATGTTTTTGGGTCTTGGTGTGAAATGCAGTAACCGGAGTGAAGTGTGAGGGCCAGTCAAACTGCGCTGCACGTTGAAGAGCACACAGTACGAGCTCTCACTACATATGCTTTTCTTCTATTTTTAGTTTCCAGAAGCTGAGTCTTCATCTGAAGTTTTATAATTCCATTCACAACGAAGCCGGACACATCTGCAGTTTCATGACCGTTGCCTGCTGGCCACACCTCACTGCCATGAAGGACAGCATACAGTACCTGGTGCAATGGGAGGCTGTATTCCCATGTCTGCTTGGTTTTTACACAATAAAATTTTTGCTTCTTCACCCCAAGCCTCCCCTTGCCTTGCATTTCCATGCAGTGTCACTGAGTATGTGGAAGGGCATGGGGTGCTCCCAGCTCTACTTCTCAGAGTACACCCGTAGTCAGGGATCTCCCACCATACCCTCTGTTTGCTCCTGACCAACTCTTCTTATGGTCACAATGCTATTCCCTAGAAGAAACCCCACATTTACTCATCTGTGGGGTGTTTGTGGTGCAACTGTACAGGCGCGTGCAGCACTCTGCTTCCCATCAGTGCTTGGCTGGAAGGCTCTCACCAGGTTGCACAGCCCCCTGTGACCTTCTGCCTTTGGAAAGGCAAATTGGGCAGTATTCAGCATTCAGTCATGCTTTTTGGATTCCTCCCATTCATTTCTAATTTAAACCAAACCATGGCAGCAAGTAACATTTTCCTTGTCACAGATGAATGCAAAACCTTCTTCTCTGGGTTCCCGTCAGCAGTTTGCTCAGCCCCGTGTGCTCTGTAAGCAGTTTCTCACTCCCAGCAGCGCTGCAATGCCAGCAGCACACACTGATGCACCGCTGCATCCCAGGCACAAGGTGACAATCCCCATGCACAGGCATTCCTGGCCACTCATGAGCTCTCAGGACAGCAGGTATGTGTGCCATTCCAATTACTTCAGATGTTTACCCAGCCTCGCGCTGTGCTTTGGGAAGTGAGGGTCCTGCTTTCGGCACTGAAGTACATTCACAGCAGTCCCTGCAGAGCACCCATAAAACACGTTTTCTGCGAGCATGTTGAAATCTCTCGGAGCTCAGTGCAACCCTGTTCAGAAACAAGTGTACGGCTGTTGTTTTTAATCCTTTCTTCCCTTGAAACTGGCACGCTGAACTGCAGCACACTGTGTAATCATTACAGTCCCTGCAAGTTCACAGATTAAGTGAAAGACATCTCTTCTCCAGTCTTCTCTGCATAAAGCAGGCAACTCAAAGAGGAGAAAAATAATTTACAGAAATCCTGTGCTCCCTTCTGTGCTTTCAAATGCAAAAAGAAAAAGCACAGCTTGTGCAGTTTGGAAGAGAAATCTCTGCAGTCTGCCCTTCCATCTTGTAAGAACATTTCTTTAATACTATGCTCGAACAAAAACTTACGGGAAAAATCTGACTAAGCTGCAGTGGCCTGGCTTGGCAGGGATGAGAACTTAGAATCATGAAGGTTGGACAAGACCTCCAAGATTGTCACGTCCAAATTCTCCCTGATGAGCCTCTTGGTCTGAGTGCTGCTCTGAGTGCTGTCCCCAGGTTTGCTCTCTAAAGTCTGACCCACAGACATGGGGTGGGTGAGGTGTCAGCTTGCAGCTCATTCTTAAGCTAACATCACTACACGTAAATAAGTCAATGTGCTCAAAGAGCTGCATAAACTGCTCATTATTGGGCGGAGGAAGCAGAGATGATTCCTTTGACACTGAGCTTTGTATCTGGAATTACTACACCATGCTGCTGCGGTGTTTGCTGAACATTAAGCTGTTGCTATTTAAACCTGCAGAAGGAAAGCAGATTTGTGTGTAATAATATACAGGGCTGGCTTTTTTTCTTCTTTCTGCTTTTGCTTTGCAGGACACAAAGGAAATTGCTCTGTCACTTGAAATGGCTCTGCACATCCTTTAGCAGGAAAAAACAGCACTTGGACTGGAGATTTTCAGCCTGAGTCCGGAGAATTGTTTGCCCTTGAAACCCTCTGCGCAGCGGAGATCTGTTCTCACGGGCAGCGAGAGAGAGCGATCTGTCAGCTCTGGCCTGCAATAAATCCACGGCTGCACAGCGCGGGGTGCAAAGTGCCTGTGAGCTGCACCGTCCCTGTTGCACACAGACACGTAACCAATGGGCAGAGCAGCAGGTCTCGGCACGGGGTAGTTTATAGCCTGCAGTGGGACAACAAGAGTTATTCTTTTTTGCCCCCGTATTTCAGCTGCCTTTATCCCGGAGCCGCTGCTTTGTTTTTTGTACTGCCTGCATGTGGTGCTGCCAGATCAGCTCGGGGCTCCTGGGGGCTCCAGGAACCCCTGGCTTGGGGACATCCCCATGTGTCACCGTTGGAGGTGGGTAGCCACATCACCCCATGTGCTGCTGGGGGGAACAGAGAGAGCCAGTGCTTCCAGTGGGGCTGATGCATGGCAGGGAGGTGCCTGCAGATCAGACAAAGGAGCGCCAAGCGACAGAGGCTGCCAAGTTTCTAATTAACATAATTAAAACGTGCTCTTTTCTTCCAATGGATGTGCCTTCTGCAAGCATCCATCAGAGAAATGAGCTCTGTAAAGAGCTCCTTCCTTTGCAAGATGCCCATAATTCAGGACTGACAGTGTCCACATCCATCCTGTTGCTGACTGCGACATTAATGGATTCTGGCCTGGCTGTTCCTGTACTGTCAGAGGCTCCTGCCTTGACATGTCCCTTCCCTAATGGATGGGGAACTGCAAGCTGTGAGCTCGTGCTTCCCTACATGAGTCACCAGGACGGGGATGTTCAATCCCATGGTTGGCACTGGGACTGGCTCCCAGGTCCCCATCCTCCCCCTGTGCAGAAGAAGCAACAGGCCCTGATAGCAGGGGAGTTGTGGTCCCCTTCTTCACTCTCAGGGAAGTCAGGGAATCACATTTATAATGCTTCCTAGTTATGAACAGGGCATGTAAGATTCTTTCCAAACAAATAAGATGCTTTCCCCCTTGTGCTTCCATCCCAGTTGCCTCTGGAAATGCTCTGCTTTGATACTTCACTCTTCTTAAAGTGTACTTCACTCTTCTGCAGAGGTGCAGAGGGGCAGCTCCTTACTCTGCACAGCTGCTGCAGCCTAGCAGAAGGATGCATGGAGCTGCTGGGCTCATCCATTGCTGGTGGCCCCGAGGAGACTGAGGATGGGGGCATTTTCCACGCTCACGCTGCTACCAGCTCACCCAGCGCCGCTGGATTCAATTTCATGCCTATTGGATGCACCGAGATAATACCGAACTGCTGCCGTGCACAGAGCTTCTCTGCCAGGTAAACGTGTCCCATCCCCTGCAGGTAACCATCAAACGGGTGTGGGGATGTGCTCTGCAGCAACAGGGAGCTCTGTGAGGCTGTGTGAGGACGCGCTGCCGCATGGCACAGCAGAGCGCAGCCCAGCACGGCCGCGGCTCTCGTGGAGCAGAGTTGTTTCTCCCTGACTCGCTGTCAAGCTGCTCGTCTGACTTGAAAGTGATGTATTTCTTTGAATCGCAGCCCTGAAAGAACAGCCAGAGCTTAATTACAGCAAAAGGGCCTTGTGCTTGTGCGGCACATCACAAAGCAGCTGGTGAGAAAGTTTCCACAATAGGAACCCTTCCAGAGTGACGTCCTGGCATCAGGGGGCCCTGGAAAAGATGGAGAATTTAAAGGGAAGAAGAAAAAGAGCAGAAGAAAATAACCACACCGAGCTTCATTTGCATTCCTATTGCAGAGCTTCAGCCTTGCAATACACCGAGGGCATCGCATTGCCATTCCCAGGCGGTGGGGCAGCAGTGCTTCCAGCCCTTCCCTGCACTGGGGCCGAGCTCCGCACCCCTCAAACCCTTCTACTCAATCATCACTGATCACAGTTCAGAGCCCCAAACAGCTCACAAATTAAATTATTTATTCATATAAAATGTGCTTACAATCGCAAAAGGGATTCACTTAATTGAAAGTGCAGCCAGCATTTTAATAAAACCATAAAAGGGTGAAACGTGCATAAATGCAGGAAAAGTGTTTAATCTCAGAGAGATTGCTTGATGTTAGAGAGCGCATTCCGCTCCCAATATAGCTAAGCAAATAATATTGAGATCCCACGAGCAAAGAGATATTTTTATCTTTTCGCTCAAGCCCTGGGTTTAAATTTGACATTATAATTGTGAATTATGCTAGTTCATTACCATAGCTACAGAAGGCTTTGGCCAGCCTGCAGATCACATTGCTGGTGACTGTTGGTGTGCTGTGCCTCCATCCTGGAGCTGGGGACTCCCTGCTGCAGCTGTGGCATGCGCTGTGGGCGCACCATGCACGCATGAAGGGTCAGCGTGGGAAACTGCCTGTGCTTGGGTTGTAATCACTCGGATCGTAGCTGTGGGATGAACTTAGCTAATGAAGGGAACACCTGGCTGACGTGCAGCACCCAGCTGCCTTGGCAGCTCCTGGGACAGTGCTGGGTGAGGGCAAATGTGGCCTCGTGTTCGGCCCTACACCACGTCCCAGGGGCTGCACATCTTCCTTGAGGGCCATGAGAGCTCCCAACAGCCCATTAATCCTTTTTCTTGTTAATACCACAGAGCAGCTTGTCAGGGCTGCCTGCTTTCTGATGAATAATACAGTGCAGCGGGGAGGCTGCGGGGAATTATGTAGCAGATTTAATTAGCATGGAAGTGAGGGACATGGAGAAGATGGAGTGGGTTGAGGATGTGGGGATGCTGCAGGGTGTGCTGGACACACCACGCTTCTGGAGAACTCACTGCCCTGTGCAGCCCCTGAGCCTCTGACACAAGTCTGTCCCTATTATGGTAGGGTCATGGCCATGGGAAATCTCAGTAGGACAGATCCCTGCTCCTGATGGATCCCACTTGGTGCACAGTGCCCTGGGAGCTGCTGCTGCCGCAACCCCAGTCTAATTTTGTGACCGGCGTTAACACAGTGAATTACTGTGGGGAGCGTGAGGACAGGTTCTGGCTCTCACTTTTACAGGGATTAACCGAGAAGCAGGCACAGAAATCCCCCAACAGCGTGGCCTCGTGCCCTCAGTACAGAGTGGTATCGCTGCTGGGCCACAGCAGTGCAATGCTCAGCCATTGCTGGAATGTAGGGCAGCAGCATGGAGGCGTGCTGCCATGGATCCATGATGGGGTGTGCGCTGTGGGAGTTGGGGGGTGCCCCCACCCCATGGGCCTCGCTTAGGCTCTGCCCAGCCTGCAAATCCCCGGGGATTTGGCAGCGATTAGGGGCATTAGCGGCGGCCTCACAGGGGTGACCACTTTGACTTTGCAGGTACAGAGCCTCCTGC